GTGTCTCCTGGAGGATATGAACTCACACAAACATTTTCTAACTGAAACTAGAAAACAAGGTGACAATTTCACAGTGACAGTCCCTGTGCAAATTTCTGTGCCACTCCTTCTGTCAAACTGTGAACTGTTTACAGTGTCAGCACTTCAGTGAGAAAATCCTATTGAGACCAGAGGCAGACAGTGTTTGTCAGAGATGAACTTAGGAGCCTCACACATACAGGGTAGCTATTTTTCTTCACCACACCTCACTGTCTTAGCCTTCTAGTGTCTATCTGCACTGTGATGTGCTAAGCTGCCAAATATTAGCTTATATACAAGCTTAAAGGCTGACTAAACACTATGAATGTTCACTTTATTACACTGTTGATTTATCCTTGGCCCATTTTATGCATTTATTGTAGCAGAAGTTATTTTCATTTTTCAATAGAAAATCCAGTAATTCTGTCCACTTGACCCCCCAGAAATCTGTGAAACATTTATAATGTACCCTGGGACACTACACTCCCCTCTACCCCACCCAAACACATGTATACTTATAATACATATAAATAAAGCAATCAACTGTCAGCAGTCTAGGTGGGGACGAGCTGGACTGAAGTCACTGTTTAAGTCACGTTATGCTTGAACGAATTTGCAAGAAGTGTTGTCCAACCATGCTAGAAATCAAAAGTGTTTATCTGCTGGAGTGTACTGACAGCAAACTGTTTCCAATTTCAGCTGGAGAGGGGTCATGCTGGGTCATGGGAGTGATACGTGAGCCGTTACCAGCTGGTTTTAAGTTCAAAATTAGAGTTATGTTTGTAGCTGTGGTTCTATGAATTCTAGGTGACAGCCAGATGCAATATCTTGACATTAAAGAAGCTATTTGTAAGTTTTGCCATTGCTACATAGCTAACATTACCATTAACAGCTGTTTACTTACTGAAGAAGAAACATTGTGAGTACAACATCAAATTTAATTCCTATACTCACCAAAAGCTGTCTCCAGAGGTGGAAACAAACACCAATGTTAATACTTGTCTCTATCACATCTTTTCTTCTACTGAAGTTAGCATGCTAACTAGCTAGCCCCGGCCCGTATCAGACCATCTTTGCACTTTTTGATAGCGACTCACAGTAACCTCCAGTCTGTCCTGAAGATGTAGCTGCTATTATAACCTCTTCTCTTGTAAGTGCAACATTGGCTGAAGCTCTTGTCAAGCCACAATCACCACCACCCGCTCCCAGCAAGAAACCATGTTCGGTGACAGAGAAAACTTCCAAATAGACTCTTTAAAGGAGCTATTTGTAAGTTTTGTTATTGCTACATAGCTAAAGTTAGCATTAGCAGCTGCTTACTTACCAGTCTAGATGAAATGTTTTGAGTTCAGCATCAAACTTCATTTCATTACTCACCAACAGCTGTCTCCATAAGTGGAAAGAAACACCAATGTTAACTCTTGTCTCTATCACATCTTTTTTTCTACTGAACTTAGTATGCTAACCAGCTAGTCTGGGCCAATATCGGCCTGTTTTGTCACTCTTTGATAGTGACTCACTGTAGCCCCTAATCTAGCCTCCATTTACAAATAGCGCCTTCAATTGTCAGTTTTGCTATTGCTACAAAGCTAACATTAGCATTAACAGTTGCTTTCTAGAGGCAGAAAGCAACGCTATCAACTCTTGTTTGACTTATGTCTTTTCTTCTGCTCAAGTTAGCATGATAACCAGCTAGCCCCCGTCTTTTATCTTTCTGATAGCGACTCAGTGTAGCCTCCAATCTGCCCTGAAGACGTAGATGCTCAGAGGACGTATTATAACCTCTTGTATTATAAAAATAACAATGGCTAAAGCTGTTGTCAAGCCACAATCACGAACACCTGCTCCTGACTAGAAACCATGTTTGGCAGCATACAAAACCTACAAAAAGCCCCTTTAAAGGAGCTATTTGTAAGTATTATAACCTCTTGTGTTGTAAGCGCAACTATGGCTGAAGCTCTGGTCAAGCCACAATCACTACCACCTGCTCCTGACAAGAAACCCTGTTTGGCAGCACAGAAAAACTTCCAAACAGCCTCTTTAAAACATATGAAAATGGCTAAAAATGTCAGACAGTAGGAGAGACAGAGGAGGAATGGACAGAGCTGTTGGTGGTGGAGTGTTCACACACTGGGGCTAATTAGTGTGTCGGTTAAAATACATTTGTAGAATTTGTAGTCAAAATGGGGCGTAAAGTTGTTATGAAGACAGTTTTTTTATCTTTTTGTTTTTGGTATATTGACATGAAACATTAAAACTTGACAGCACTCTTGAAGATGCAGGTCTATAGTTTTACTTCCTTAGAGAAACATTTTAACCAGGGTTTACACCAACAGAGTATCAGATTCAGGTTGATTAGCCATGCAAAGCAGTTTTACCATCATTTTGTTATAGTTTAAAGTTCTCCTATATGCAGATGAGCTCAGCAACATTGTTCTCATACATGCCCACATACTTTGTAGATATGCCCGCCAGGGGGCAGATCATGGCTGACACTGGGATATTGTCCTTTTTGCACGGCCTAAAACATAACAGTGGCACTCCAGAAAGTTAGGTGACTGTTACTGTTGAGATTACAGCAGAAAATTGTGATCTGTGACAAACTATTTGTTTTACTGCGAAACTTTTGCCATTTTTGAGTTTAATAAAAAGATAATCACTGACCTGCTGCTGGTGTAGAAAATCACAGCTTTAATTAAAAAGGCGTAATGTGGAGTCATTTTAAGACGGTGTCAATTGTGAGTCCCTCTACCAAAGAAATATCTGAGAGATTTTTGTTGCAGTCTTTTGCCTGTTCATACTGACTAAATACCATACAAACCAAGGCAACTTTTAAGACTTAAGATTTTTGTCCCATTTGCTTCCAGTTTGTAATGGCCAATTTACTATTTTTAGTTTTCTGGCAATACCATCCTCTTTCCACATGTTGTCGATGCAGCTACAGCAGAGAACATGTCACTATGGCATTGACATTTAAGTCAGCTTTGGGCACAATTCATTTATTTCAATTTACATTTAACACTAATGTTTAAAACTGTGCAACATGTGTGATTCATTCATTTATAGGTAAAATGTGACGCTTGGACCTTCTGCTGGTTTGAGAACAGATTCGTTTGGAATTTTCGAATTTTATTGACTTTTATGGAGAAGTGCCATGTGAAAATATGCAACCAACAAATGTACATGGACCTTACTGATATATATATATCATGCTCAATGCTCTGAGTCTGCAATGGTAAGTACTGCTTCCATTTAATCAGCATCCCACCAAAGTCAATAGAGGTTTCTGAATGTTTGTAACAACAGTTTTCCTACAGAGATTATTAAGGTTTCATTTCAAGACATATTACAATAGTAATGAAAAACAATCCATTTTAATTACATTAGTCATACTTTAACAAGATTTTGAACAGTGTCATTTTCATGTTATTGCTGATAAGGGTTTCAACCATGTGGGAATAATGCACTGCTTACAATCTAACAACACAAATGATAAGTTTCTTGAATTTTGATGGATAACTTTTGAAGAATATTTGAATTTGCTGTTTAAATTAATGCACAAATTTTTTAAGGTGGCACCGTCAGAGAAAACCAGGGTGCTCTGCATGCAATGAGAATCATATGATACTTTAATGCTGTGGTCCTGCGTTCATGTCAAATACTGCGGTGTTACTACTGTGACAATGATAATGCTTAATTTCACTTGCATTTTTTTTTTAATGGTTGGGTTTTCAGCCTGCTATAGTGTGGCTCTATGGATGGCAATGTCAGTGGGTTGTTTTTTTTAAAATAAACTTTTATTGAACAATAGCAAACAAACAGAGTCAGGTGATGACACAAAAATCTGAATTACAGTAACGCAATGGACAAGAATGTTACATTATAACATTAAATAAAGTACAAACATTTCATATCATATAAATTAATATATAATACATTTTACAAGCTTTCCTGTTATAGTGGACCATGTGGATGTACTCCCTATAATCTACTTCAATTATGAAGAAATATGTACAGGATTTGAGAATTTACATTTATTAGTCAGTGTGTTTTTGCCAGCAATAAAATTAAGGATATATAATTCGCTGGCTTTAACAAAATATTATTTAGTAAAAATAATCAAGACAGACAGACAGATAGACAGATAGATAGATAGATAGATAGATAGATAGATAGATAGATAGATAGATAGATAGATAGATAGATAGATAGATAGATAGATAGATAGATAGATTTGTCGATATGTTGAGTGATAAATAGACTGACATCTTGTCAAAATTTGTGAGAGTGGATCCAAAATATGCTGATTTGGGGTACAGTTCATTAACATTAATGACCTTTTTAATTTTTTGTAAAAGAGATATCAATGATCTTAAAAGACACTAGACTAAAGATAAATGTTTTCATCCAATTAACACCAGAAAAGAAATAGATAGAGACTACTGCATTATTACGAATATCACGGTTATTGGACTTTACATGAGCTACCAAACACAATATGTATCAACATTAAACCCTCAACCCAGGATCCTATATATTCTTTATGAATAGGAATGTTCCATATACAATATGAAACCTTACATCAAAAAACCTCTACTACAACAAAAATCTATCATAATAATAAAATAATGTAATTATTGTTGTTATAAAATTGTTTTATATTATTATTATATTATTATTATTATTAATTTGTGGACTATGGATTTGGACTGCCCTCAGCATTCCCAGACTGGACAGTTGGATTCAGCCGTTATGAGAAAAGTCAGGAGGCGCTTGTTTTTACACCGCGACGCACGGTTTCAACAAACGGGTTTATAGGCTTATACGCGGAAACTGACTCCGCCTGCTCGGGAGAATTCGGCATACGTCGGTCAGGTCTCAAGCAAACCCAAAAGTTAAAGTTGAAAGACGCATTGCGTCGAGCTACGCCATTGGCTTGTAGATCCCATCGTAAAATTTTCAATGAGCCGCCATATTAGGAAGCCAAACCCCTCTTTCATTCGGTTAAGAAAAGACAGGATACACTTCCAGGGTAGTTTTCGGAAGTGCCGGTTATTGCTGAGCGCGCGAATCTAAATAGTTAAATCAGTAGAAGCTGTATCCTAGTTTGGTTCTGTCTCTGTCGTTCATACGGGTTATTTACCTCCTCCTCTACAATGGCGACCGCGGCTGCAACTCCGACCGGCCAGAGAAGCACGTGCGGCAGCGGCACACCGCTGAGTCCGACCAGAATAACCAGACTGCAAGAGAAACAACAGCTCCGGGACCTCAATGACCGCCTGGCCACATACATCGACAAGGTCCGCAGTTTGGAGTCTGAAAACGACGTACTCCACCTGCAAATCAGCGAGAAGGAAGAGGTGAGGAGTCGGGAGGTAACCGGACTGAAAGCCCTTTACGAGACAGAGCTAGCCGACGCCAGGAGGTGTTTGGATGACTCCTCCAAGGAGCGGGCCTGGCTGCAGATCGAGCTGGGAAAGATCAAGTCCGAGCATGAGCAGCTTCTACAGAAGTAAGTCTCCAACGGTTTATTTATGCTGTACAGTCTTGCATGCACAGGACCCCCCCATGATTAGCTTAAGTCTGTGTGCTGACTTTGATTTTCGAGCCACTATTGCAACATGACGCACGGAAGTTCATCCCGTGGATTACGTTTCCACGTCGGGTGGGAGCGTCACTCAAACTCGGCCTATTGAAAAGCATTCTTCGTTCGTATTTAATATTTTATTTTATTTTACCGTCCTTTACTCCGTCATGTGGCTCGGTAGAAGGCTCTCTGAGGTTTGATTTAGTTACAACATTTAATATTTATTTTACCACAATGGTGGGTGGGTGTTAACGGCCCGTATTGTTTGTTTTGCTGAAGGGAAATAACTGTCAAACAAAGTCTTTTTTTTTTAATTTTAACTTTGGCTAATCCTAACCATGACTAGTCCTAAATAAATAAACAGAAAACAGTTTATATAGAGAAATGAACCTGTGGTTTAATTAGACTGGACACATGGTGCCTTCAGGGTCTAACGTCAGGATCTGTTCAGAACAAAAGACTCAAACATCAGCGCAAACCTGAGGTGCTTTTGTTATTTCATGATGGAAATGACAACATAGTTTAAAACGTAAAAGTATTATGATGAAATGATTCAGACCTTTAAATAACTTGATTTTAATATCCAAATTGTTTATTGAATGTTTGATGTTTTGTGGTCATTTGTGTGGACATCGCACCTGTATTTACAAACATGAGTGTGTTTGTTTGTTCTCATATCTGCGAGAACCTGACAGCAGCAGCTGTTACTCACAGCTGTTAAAATTCATCAACAGACAATGTGGAGTGAAAGTCTCGTGAATCCTGTGTATTTTGGGTTTTCTTATTTCTATTTAAAATGTTACAAATAGGTAAACAAAAATGTAGTTGTTTTTTTTTTGTAGTTGTTACTACTCACCAAGTAGTGTTGTGCTGACACACTTAAATTGGCTGTATGCAAAACCAAATAAATAATAACAATTATGATAATAACAAAAACCCAGAATATAAGCTTCACAAAGGTGGTATTTTTTAATAGGTGTTTAGTGGGTGGACTTTGCAGTTAATGTGGCTAAAAGGGTCCCAGACCGCCTGCATAGCTGTCTCAACTTGTAATCTGACTTTGGTGCATCTATGGTGCATTTCCACTAGGGCTGCACAATATGCAGAAAAAAATCATATTGCCATTATTTTGGCAGATATTATGATTTCAGTGTGACTGGTCGTTTTTTTCATTTAATTTTCACAGATTATTATTTTTTTTTAAATGATGTGATTTTTGTTGAATCATGTATCAAACAAACATGTTCCTTTATGTCTGGAGAATACGATTTGTTGGCTGGAGCATCTATAACACTATGCACAATAATGCACAACATTTTACCTTTTTATCAAAAAGATTTCAGCTTCTGCATTTCGGTTATTGCACTCTGCTATATTGAGATTTCGACTATATTTCGATTAATTGTGCTGCCCTGATTTCCACCTGGATTTGTTGTTGTGAACTGCCACAGATAACACTCAGCTCATGGGGTGCCTCGGTGGCTCACCTGTTAGAACGCATATCACATGGGCTTAGTTCTAACAGCAGCGGCCATGGGTTTGAATCCAACTCATGGCCCTTTGTTGCATGTTGTCCCCTCTCTCTCTCTCTCTCTCTCCCTGACTTTCCTGTCTGTCTCTCACTTCACTATCTGAATTAAGGTAAAAATGCCCCCAAAAAAAACTTAAGAAAAAGATAAGTCAGTTCATCCAGTCTGAGTTCATGTCAAGTGTAAAAGGGGTCAAAGTTCTTCTTGAAGTGTAATGCAGTGACTAAACATAAAATGAATTCCCATGTTTATTTGACATGTCAGTGATTAATCCACAATTGATTAGTGGCTGTTAATAATTGAATCGATTTTGAAAATATTTTAATCCAGGAGGTGTGGTGTAATTGTCAGAAAATGTACAGTGGTTTGCTGTAGTAAGTGGTTGCCTCTCACTGTTGTCACGTGTTGTCTGACCACCCCCAAGGGATGCACAGATTATAAAAATGAACGCACCTCCTTGTCATCCCACTCTGGCTTTCTGTGCTCATTGTGGCAGTCATGTTGATGAACACTGCAGCATTAAGTAAAGAATTACTTTAGCTAGTAGTCAGAGGCTCATGCTAATCTTCAACAGAAGCAGTGAGCAGCTGCTTGGTTCATGCAGGCTGGGAGCTGAGTATTGGACAGCACAGAGCACTGCTGTAGCCACAGTAGAATAATTAAATGTGCTTTAAATATGGTCGACACAGAAGTAATGACCTGTATAAGCGACGTGCTTTGACTATAGATGAATTTACCAGTGGCAGTAAATCTTAAAAGAAGCTGGTGTGACACTATTTGTGCGTCTTTGGGACATCTGTCCCAGCTGAGCAGCTGTTTCTAGCAGCTGCACTAACGTTAGCTACAGCGAACAATGCACAAGTCATTGGGGAAACCTATATCATGTTTACACAACCAGTAACATTGTTTTCGCATTGAAACTGCCTGTCACTGGTTTGGTTTAGTTATGGAGTAATGAGCTATGTTTACAGACTCATAAAGCAACAATCTGAGATGTCACTGATGGCATCACCTTATATGTGATGTTAGGGTCTTCACACCAGCTCCTTCAATAACTTCAGCTGGTAACCCACTTCCTTGGGTCCTCAGCAACACGCCCACCAAGTGTGAAGTGGATTGGATGAGCAGTTGTTGAGAAGGTTAAAGTGCAGAGTCTGGTCTAGACCTGCTCTATCTGAAAAGTGCCTTGAGATATAAACTATATAAATAAAAACTGACTTGACTTGACAGAAAGGCAGAAAGAGATTTCTCCTTTTTGTTCCAGGTTATTTCCTGTTGAAGGCCACAGCTCCTTTTGATAAAGGCCAATGGGTCAGACTTTGAATTGTTACACATGTCCAACAGGTTCAGTCTGATCTGATGTTTGTTACCCAGCGAAGCCTGGAAGCTGTGCAGTGCCGTTTGCTCTGAATAGTGTTGAACAGGAAGTGGAAGCTCAGCTATTTTAAATGAAGTCATTATTTTGTATTTTTATTTGATTAAAGTAACTTGGTGTTTAATCTGTTCTCTAAATTCTAATCAGCTGTGATGGTGAACGTAGGTCAGTGGTTAATGGAAAAAGACCACTGTCTATTAATTGTGTCTGTCCATTAACTGTATTATATTTTTAATGTGGTCTACTATCAATTAAGGAAATTTCTTAAAATTTGCAGTGTAATAATGTATTTTCTCATCATGAGGGGTCAGCAGTGATTTCTTCAATGTGCTGATTTTGTCTGATCAGTGATTTTAAATTGTCAGTTGGTTGTAGGGCTGAACAATAATCGAAATATTATGAAACCTGCAATATGACCTGTGCAGTATCCAAATCACAGCAGCTGATAAAGATACAAACAACCATAAATGACGCATTGAGGTGCTTCAGACCAGGCTATAAATCATACCTTAAACGCACAGGACCTCCTCATGATTAGCTGAAGTCTGTCTGCTGACTTTGATTTTTGAGCCACTATTGCAACATGATGCACAGAGGTTCAGCCCGGGGACTCAAACTCGGCTTATTGAAAAGCGCTCTTCATTTGTATTTGATGTTTGACATTATAAATCATATTCTCCAGACGTAAAAAACTTGGTTGTTTGGTTCAAGCCCCAAAAACCATCATTTTTATATATTTTTTTCACTGAAAATGCAAAAATGATCATTCACACTGAAATTGTGACTCGTATGGCAATCAGAATATTTCCCTAAATAATGTTCGACTTGGTTGGTCAAATGTGTCACCAGTTTTTTAGACTGATCATTTCATCAATAGTAAAGAGTAACCACATTAGCGCCCTCCTTAACTGTCTTCTTAATGTGTTTCTGGTCAAATCTTGTGGTTCATATTGAAGTCAGTTATTTATATGCTCTCTGAAACATCTTGGCATGTTGTTCTTGGCTGAACAGGAAATGCTGGTAATGACTGTAATACTAATCTGATGCTTTCTGATGAAGCTGGATGATAACTTATGGTCTGTAGAGAAGTATATCAGGCGGTTGTAGTGTCAGGTGGTTGTAGTGGTTGTAGTGCAGCATCAGGTAGATGTAGTGGTTGTAGTGTCAGGTGTGGTCTTACTGAGACTGTCCCTGTGAAAGAGCCCTGTGGGCCTGTGGTGTGTTTCTCAGTAGAATGTGAAAAAGCAGACATACCACACCACATTCCAGTCATAGTTTATCCACTTTAGTGGCCTTCTCATCCACCCTTCATAAATTCGAGGCAGACCGTGTGGAAATAACTGGCCTCTGTCTCAGCAGAGCTGCTCCAACAGACACTGAAACCCACTCAGTGAGTCCCGTGGTCACACAGTGAACCCAGGTCAGAGTTAGGAAACAGTCCTACATTTATTTTATTTTTTTAAAATATGAGATCTGTGGCTCTTGTCGTATCTTTGCCTATTTTTTTTAAATATCAACGTATTCAGGAAATAAAAGACTTTTATGTGCACTTACATGACATAAATAAGCTCTTCTTCTAATTTACAGCTCATCTGTGTTTCTCCTCTTCTTCTGTGTTGACCCTCTGTGGCCAGCAGAGGGCCCTGTTTCCTGCAGACCGGGCTGATCATGATCAACCAGCAGCAGGAACCACTCTAAACTTTTGACCCACAAAATACACAAAAGTACTTGAAAATGGAGTACCACACGTTTTAAAGTGTGTCATGCCAAAAAGAGGAGGGGCAGTTAAACTAATGAAACAGCCCTGTAATAAATCCTGGCTTCATGAGTTTGAATGCTGAGCTTTGTCTGGGATGTGTTGACACTCATCTTAGAGGCTGTAGTTTGTGTTTATGTTGAAAAGTGTTCCTAATATTTGTGAGTGGAGTGAATTGTCTGCCTGTTCTGCCTTCATGGTTATATTTATTTTATAAATCATTTATTGTCGCACTACTTCTGTCCTGCTCTCTGCTCTGTGGGAGAGGTGGGGCTGCAGGTACACAGTGTGCGCGCACACACACACACACACACACACACACACACACACACACACACACACACACACACACACACACACACACACACACACACACACACAGAGAGAGAGCAAACAGCAGGAAACATAACTGAAGATTACTGCTGTTGACGTTACTATCACTGAACTTTGCTTTAAGGGCAATAAAAACTAAAAGGCCAATACAAACTTTATCCAACCACCTGTTCAAACCAGAACAATCAATGCACATCCTGTTCTGAATTTATTTTTTTTTAAATAGTACAAGTAGGGGTGGGCGATATGGCAAAAATATCATATCACGATTTTTTAAAAATAAAATCACGATTTCGATTTTATCACGATCTTAAATTGGAAAAAGAAAAACAGACAATTTAGACCAAAGAACCTTTCTTAACAGATTTTATTTCAAATCGTCGCAGTTTTGCCTGCATGTGCAAACAACGTAAAGTTTAAGGTAAACAACAACAACAGTCTGGTTCGTCGTGTTACCACCCGACGTGCGAACGGTTTCTGTGCAAACTTTGCAAATTACATTTGCTTGCGCTTGATCAGTTGCGGAAAATCCAAACCAATTCCATATAATGGAGGTGGAATTTTTTTAGCGACCGACTCCGTTTGGCTTTCAGCCATCGCTCTCCATGTGCTACCGCTACACACACAAACAAGGAGGCGGGTAGGAAAGCGCATCACTGCCCGTAATTCGCTATGATTGGTCGGTCAGGTTGACGACGTCAATACGTCTGGTGCGTCGGTGCATCAGCATAGAACTGCAATTTATAGAATGTGCCCTAGACGATCCCACGATCTCTGCAGTTTGAAAGATCGTCTTCACGTTGTAATCCTTCACGATCTAAAATCGTCATATCGCCCACCCCTAAGTACAAGTAATAGTGTGAGCTGGATCAATAAGTGTATGGATAGAGATAAAGATAAAATCAGCTGGTTACTGTCTGACTTTGGCAGGATGAGCACATCACAGTTCAAGCCCCTTCACTCTGAGTCTTGTTTAACCAGTGTTATTTTGTGATGATTATTTTTTACGGCGCACAGTGCGATCAGTCACAAACATATGAAGGATTACTTCATGTGTAAGTGTCTGTTCATTAGTAGACAGAGCTTTTTAATATCTTTTATCCTTGTAGCTGATAAAAACTCTCATGAAGTCATTAAGTCGTCTGCTGCTGCCCGAGAATTTACACTACAATATGTGTTTGAGAAAATGTCTAACCCAGAATCTGGGATTATTGATTATTGAGTGTCATTTAGATTTTGGAGGAGGAAAATTAATCATTTAGGTTAATTGACTATTGATAAAGTAGTCGATAGATTAATCGTTAGAAAGAATATAGAAATAGTCATTAGTGGCAGCTCTTCTCGTTAAAATCTTAATGATACCCATCTCTAGTGGACGAATCTGTAACCACTACTACAAGGGCAGTGACTGTACACATGACACACGACTATGTCCATGTGTGCGTCTGCAAGGGAGCCTGATTGAGGCCCGAGGTCCCTGCTGACGATTGGGTTTTAACTCTCACCACCATCACACACTGTCATCCACATACACTCACCAAACCTCACCTCCCTCCTTCCAGCTATAACAAGAAGGATTCGGACGCAGCAGGAGCTCAGGCCAGGGTGAAGGACTTGGAGGCTCAGCTGAACTCTAAAGATGCCATCCTGGCAACAGCACTGTCCGAGAAGAGGGGCCTGGAGGCCAGACTGGCTGACCTGCAGGAGCAGTTGCAGGAGGTACAGCTGCTGTCACATGATGTGATGAGGCTGGGCAGATGTTTTTCCTCTTTAAATGATCTTTTCAACATTAATGACAGATGCAGCGAGTGATTGTGCTTAAATTACAGAAACACAGGTGTAGTAAATATTGTACTTTTATTCTGAATCTTGTACTTGTACTTTGCTTGTCAGGTCTATGTGAACTTATTTTCAAAGCGCTTCTTGTTTTGTGTGTGTTATCAGCTGGATACAGGTCTTGCTCAGGCCAAGAAGCACCTTTCAGATGAGATGCTGCTACGTGTTGACTTGGAAAACCGCTGCCAGAGTCTGACTGAGGACATGGATTTCCGTAAGAGCATGCATGAGGAGGTGAGAGTTTTATTTTATTAAGTAAAAGTAGACAAGATTCTGGTGCCGAGGGTCCAGACTGATAAAACACAATCAAAAGAGAAGTAAAGGATACATTTAAAAAATGAGATAAAAAGGGTCAAGTTGACTTGAGTTAATGAGGACAGGATCAGACCTGAGAACAGTGTCTATGTGCTGACTGTTTGCTGTGCTACAGGAAGTGAAGGAGGCCCGGCACCGCTACGAGAGCCGCCTGGTTGAGGTGGACTCTGGACGGAAAGAGGAGTATGAATATAAACTGACTCAGGCTCTTGCTGACATGAGGGCTCAGAATGAGGAGCAGATAAAGATCTACAAGGACAACATGGAGAGCACCTACCTGACCAAAGTATGTGCACACACACACACACACACACACACACACACACACACACACACACACACACAAACTTATGAGACATGAGTTGTCTAACAGCCAAGATGAGTAATTACATGACCATGGTATAAAGTGTAATTGCTGTATGTCCAAAGCATAATGTGGACAGTCAAACAGTACACCCATACCGCATGTGATTCCAACACCACAGGCATGGTGGTGCTGCTGTTACAGCCTCCAGTCTTTTCCACCAGATGCTAGGGATTTGGCAAACACCAGACAGGGAAAATGGTTCCACATCAAAAAAGCATGTAGACAGAGCCACAACTGAGAATACTACTCAGTATTCATGATGCCAGTTATTCTCCACTGTTCAGATGCACCTCTGTCTACCTGGTGCTAAGATGCAAATGTATCTGAAGCAGCACGTGTTAATGCAGCTGATGTTTCTGTTCGCCACCGTTTTTAAACTCTTTGTGTTTACATTATTAAATGACATGTTTGTATTCAATTTACTAATTAACTCCCTCTTCTTCTCATTGTTCTCGTATGTAACTTTATGTATTTTGTTCTGTATAAGGGAACCCTTAGAGCAGATGACACTGGTGTCTCTTTCACTGTTGCTCACTCATGGCACCAGGGAAAATGTGACAGTAAATGTGATGTGAACTGACTTGTTTTGCCAATACATGTGTGAAGTTGTGGTTTGATGCACTTCAGACACTTTTGCATCACACCATGTTTTGAAAAATGGTGTTTTATTGTTTTGCTGTCTTGGGATTAAGGATTAAGGATTTTTTGTCACAGCATGTTCTTTTTTCTTTTTACTTTTTTATTCAACTTCTTGGTAGAATAATATGTGATTTAGTTGTTTGATCCATTAAAACATGAAGAAGAAGGAAACATCAGGACAGGATCAGAAGTGAAGATTATTTTTTGGCAGCAGTCAAACCATCAGAAAAACACAGGTGGACCCTACCATTAATTATAATTAAATTATCCTCATACACAGTATGTAAGTAAGCAGCCAAGTGAAACTGTAAGTACACTAAGAGCCAAACAACAGGTCACTAACTTTACAACATACCAAGCAACACGTAACTGACTTCCTGCTTGTCAGGAAGTGACTGACTCTGCTTGGTTCCTCTTTGAGAGTGTGATGAGAAGGAAACCGTGTTGATGTTTCTGACTCGAATCATCTGTCTCCAGCTGGAGGACCTGCGTCGTCTGTCCGAGATGAACGGAGCATCAGCCAACATGGCCCGAGAGGAGCTCAGAGAGTCCAGCCTGAGGATCGAGAACCTGAGCGGGCAGCTGGCAGGACTGCAGAAAGAGGTGGACGTTTATCTTACTCATTCACTTTTTATTTTCTAACTAAATTAGAGTTAGTTTGAAAAGAAGCATTATGTCGCAGTGACCTAAACAAAAACATCCAACTGAATCCTATGAAGATAAACCCTTCATCATATTAGTCATGTTGGAGTTTCCAGATTCTATGAGCTTTACCTGTTCTCCCATTAAAAATAATGAAACATGACATATCCCTATTAAAGCAGACTGTAGCTCTGGTGGAACATGTCACTTCAGGTGCTGTTAAGACATGATGTATAATACAGGAAGTCCAGTTCAAGTTTTTACAACTGCGCAAATATCCAGGTAAAGTGTTGTTGGTGTATAGACAGGCTGCTTCACGCAAAATACTTTCTCTGTGAAAACGTGTGACAACACCCTGTGTTTTTTTTTTTGTTTTTTGTTTTTTTTAAATCAATCTAATTCCCACCTTTTATAAAATACTGGGTCCATCATTCACATACTGAAGAGTCGAAGGATAAGTGTCACATGTCTAGATCAGATCTTATGTTCAAAACATTTGTTCAGTGACTGAGAATTTACACAAATGTTACAGAAAAACGTAGGTCAACAAATACACAAGCTGTAATCTTCTTGAGTGATGCTTCACATAACATCATGGTTATAGTGACCAGAATGATCATGGTGAAATGATTTCAGCATGTTTCAGCAAGATCACAATAATACTGATAACCAATTTTTACAGTGAAAACCACAAAATAAAATGAGCAGCACTTTGCACTCTGTTTGCATAAACCAATACCACATGAAAACAATATCACATGTGCATTAAAGATGGCGCCATGTGGCCATGAGGGGTAACTGCACTGTGCACACTGCAGATAAGAAAATGGTCCCCAAAGACTTTTCTTCAAATGCTATGAGATCTAGTCTTCTGGTGTCACCTGACCAGACGAGCTTATGAGGCTTGGGCTGTAGACATGTTCATGTTTCTCCGACTGTCAAACTACGGCACAGAAAATGACAAACTAAAATAACGAACTAAGACAACTCTTCTCTGATACTTAGACATGAAAGCTCATTTAATTTTCAAGATTCAGCATCCAGAAGACTCAGAGTCTCAAGAGCAGAACTGCTCATTTTCATAAATGAGGGCCCTTACCTCTTACAGTGTTGTGGATTTATATTGTATTTTTTTGTCTTTCATGAACACAGACCAGACAGACAAATCCAATCAATGTTGCATTGAAATGGCAATACATTATTGAATCTTGAATCTTTGTTATTTATATAATAAACACGTTATCATCCATCGCGATGTTTGTTTAGACATCGTCATGTGCCAAGTCGGTAGACATCGCCCTATTGCTCACTGACATTGAAATGCCCCCTGATGTAATAGAAACTGTTTATGCCAAATCATTTTGAAAGAGCAACAGCCAAGGGATAAAGTCCAACATTTAGCCGACCAATGGCGTAACTATCACTCACTCATTCAGTCACAGACAATGGGATGTATTCCTGGACTGTGGCCAGTCCAGCCAATAAAATATGATAATGTGTTTGTTTGGTCTGTGACATCATCACCATCTAACTCTCTGACATCCTCGTCTTATCTCAGACTCGTGGTTGGCGTGATCGTATAGCAGAGCTGGAGGCAGCGCTGGCTCAGGAGAAAGACATGAGCCGTAAGCTGCTGGCAGACAAAGACCGGGAGGTGGCCGAGATCCAGGCCAAGATGCAGCAGCAGCTGAATGAATACGAACAGCTGCTGGATGTTAAACTGGCTCTGGACATGGAGATCAATGCTTACCGTAAACTTCTGGAGGGAGAAGAAGAGAGGTGAGCACCCACAAAGTGTATAAAATCTGGCTACAATTTACTACTCCTGTCTGTGTCAATAGTTTTCCATCTCAAATGATTGTATGTATGGGTCAGCATCCAACTGTCCAACTGTGGTGTTTCCTCCCCCAGACTGAACCTGTCTCCCAGTCCTTCGTCCCGCGTCATGGTGTCCCGAGCCTCATCCAGCAGCCGCAGTGTGCAGACCACCCGGGGAAAGAGAAAGCGTGTTGACGTGGAGGAACAGGAAGCCAGCAGCTCGGTGTCCATCGCTCACTCTGCCTCGGCCACAGGACCCATCTGCATCGACGAGATCGACACCGACGGCAAGTTCATCAGCCTCCAAAACAGTGGAGACGAGGTGAGACCTGCTTTTAGATCTTACATGTATCTTGGTAGGTTCATGTTTGTGTACAATAAATGTCACAGCTGAAAATCTTTTATTTTGACAGTCGTTATAACTGTAGTGAATTAGACCTTTTTCTCGTTATTGTGTCAATGGTTGTGTGTCTCAGGACCAGGCCATGGTGGGTTATGAGATGATTAAGACGACTGGAGATGCCACAACCACCTACAAGTTCACACCCAAGTACATCCTGAAAGCCGGACAGAAAGTCACAGTAAGAGTTTGTCGCTTTCAGCTGAACATGTTCAGGAGTTTAGAAAAGAGTATGCTAAGGAATCATGTTTTTAAATTCAACAGATGGCCAAAACCAGTGACTGTTGGGAGACAGTTAAATAGGTGGGGTACCACTTTACTATAAGCCTACCCTGATAAAGGATTTATAAATGGTTTATAATTAGGTTATTCATTCGGTTGTTAACACTTAATAAATCATAAACAATTATTAACATGTTATAACACATACATTTTCATACATTGATGCAGCTCACTATTTGGCAAGATCAAGTTAATGCTCACTCTTTAATCTTACTAAAGTTATGACCATTTATAACTGGTAAAAAGGAGCCTTATTGTAAAGTATGAAACACATCATCCTTTACAGGTTGGAGATAAAGAAAATGTATCAGCAGTGCCAGTGCAACTTCCTTTATGCAAATGTAGTTTAAAATTACAACATGATGTGTGAAAAGAAGTTCTATCTATAGGTAATGTAAAGATAGGGGGTGCCGTCACAACACAAACCAATAACGTGAGATATGAATTTCTCCCTTTGGGGTGATGTTTTCTGTCTGATTCTTAACCTTTTAGCAAAGTGTCAGGGAGATATAGTTCCTGCTGTTTGTCACTTAATCTGTGTTCTGTCATAAATATGAAGATGACTTTCGGGGTTGGTTGAACCCTAACGTACCTGTGTGTGTGCAGGTGTGGGCCTCTGATGCCGGTGTGAGCTCAAAACCTCCCACAGACCTGGTTTGGAAGAACCAGTCCTCCTGGGGTTCAGGGGAGGACGTCCATGTGGTGCTGACCAACCCCCAGGGAGAAGTAAGACCTTATGATTTATTTTCTTTCTTTTATAATGATTATGTTACTTTTGCAATGTGGCAAAATAAAGTTTTGAAAATGTGGTGGCATTTTTGTCAAGTGTACATACATAATGAGAATAGCTCAGGGAAATATCTGGCTCCGGGGCCCTTAGCTTTCCGGAAATGTGGCCCCCTGAACAACATAGTTGAAAAGCCTTGGGCTAGGGAATGCATTACTTTAATGAGTGACACCCCCCACCCCTCTGAAACAAGTCTTTGTGTGTGTGGCAGGAAGTGGCAAAGAGAACCACGTCATACAAGACAGCAATAGAAGAAGAGCAAGGTGAGGAGGAGGATGATAACGGAGTGGAGGCCATCGAGGAAGACCTCTTCCACCAGCAGGTGAGACCTAGAGGTCCACATTCATGGGAAAACACTTGTTGGTGTCTTGCAAATAAGTTTGTCTCCTCACATGTCTGGTACCTTGAATGTTTCTGTGCAGGGAGACGCTCGCGCTGCCAAAAGAGGCTGCTCCATCATGTGAGCTCACTGCACCAACCAGCCATCATCACCTCCTCCTCTGAGCCCAGCCAGTCTGCTGCCAACTGTAATACTAGAACTATTTTTCTATCTTTTGTAGTGGATTTCAATAAAATGTTTGGATTTTATTTTATCTTTTTATTTCTCATAAAAATATAAGACAGCTTTTGGTAGATGTATTTTTATCTGATAAACCAAAATAACCTGGTTATTGAAAAAAGTTTGTATTTGTAGCTCAGAACCTTTTGACCCTTTTTAAACTGCAGCATGAAGCTGAACTCAAGGACAGACTGTGTCTTTAAGAAAACGAGTCATGTACTGTGTCATTTTTAAAATAGATTTTAATTTTGTTATTTTATTTTATATTTGATCTTCATTTTATTGTTGACTTAAGGCCTTTAAATTACACAGTGTGTCAGTTGTTAGTTTAGGTCCTGGGCTGGTTTAGATCTGTTTTTCATATGGAGAGAAAATAAACACTGAAAGCACAAGTACACTAAAACCTCCACAGTAAGAGGAGGTGATGTAATACATTACTTCCTCCAGTCAGCCTGGACCTTGAGTGGACATAATGTCAGCATCACATGATCTGGAAATCTCTGCGTTTTCTTTAAGTATCTTTAAAAAAAAAAAAAAAAACTGAAATACCATGATTGTATTTATGATGAAGTCAGAGGACAGTTGATGTCTGATCTGGGGACACTACAGAAAATGGACTGAAAGCCTCCATCAATGTTCACCAGTAAATCTCATTTTTATATGAATGAAAACTTGTGCCATCAGGATAATTTGACAGGTGTTATAATCACAGGGTCTTTAATGTGAGGGCAGCAAACATGAGTTTCTCTCCGCTGACTTTAACTAAGCGTTGCACCACTAATTAAGAAGTATTGATTGTATTCTTGACTTTTGATATTTGAAGTGTTTGAAGTTCTTTTTGTGTTTGTGTATCACTATGCATGCTATGGCTGTAATCTTCATAGTTGAATGATTAAATGTTTTCTTGTACTTGTGTTTTACTTTTTTTGTTCATCAATCAGGAAGTCAGTAAAATGAATAATGATGCTAGTCAAGGCATTAGTAACATCTCAAAACTACAGAGATATGATGTTATTTTTATTTGAGGAGCAGCGTTAATTAATATGAACAAAAGAACATTGGGCCTCATTCACCAATATTTTAAGTACTTACTTAAATTCTTTGTTCTTAAGAAAACTGTCAGATTCATGACCGTGTTCTTAAACCGCAGAATTGTGCACACCTGTGTTCTTAGATTGATGAATGCCACTCATTGTAAATTGAAAGTGTGCGCCAGTTGGCCCTAATTAGCAGAGGTAAACACCCGAAAACGCCCTTAAAAGGGCGTGAGACTGAAGGGTCGTGTGCAGACACAGACAGAAGTCATAAAGAGTTACCATAAGGGAAAGTTGAGAAAATGCCAAAACGAAAATCCAAAGACAAATCACCGGAATCAAAACGTAAAAGGAACTCTAGTAGTTCTGAAGTGGAGGGACTGCTGCAGGAAGTCAGATGCAAACGAGGGGTTTAGTGTTAATGTAGCATTCATTTATTTTAAAGACCATAATGCTTTGTAAAATAAGAGCTTTTTGTTTTTTTTTTTTAAACAGTATTATACAACTGTAGAACAGAAGAAAATGCAATAACCACTTATTTTGCCCAAACATGTCAGCACTCAAATGTGCATAAGAATACTCGAGTGTGCGAAGATTCTGTTCTCACCTAAGAACAAATTGCAAATAAGAAAACATTGGTGAATGTCAGAATCTTCATAAAAAGTGGGTTTGATGAAGAAATTTCTTCTTAAGAATGGTTGGTGAATGAGGTCCTTTGTGCAGTCACAGTAAAATAGTTATAATCCGATGAGATCTCCAATATAAAATTTATTTAATTAATAAATTTAACAATATGTTCTTGTTTTTCAGTCAATGTGGACAAGCTCCAATAAAACCTGGCCTCACTGCATGTTTGAAGGAGATGACAGGGTCCACACATCCAAAGCAAGAGAATGTGCAGCAGGTTCAAATGACTGCAATTAGAGTTTTTGTGAGGAGAATGAATTATCTAGACCAGTGGTTCCCAACCTCTCATGGCCCGCTTAAAAATCTCAAATGTTGGTGGCCACATTCGACCCCGTAACAATATGGGGGCCAATACGTTCTCAGAGTATTTTTAATTTTAATGATAACGGCTGAACATTCAGGACTGAACTGAAAGAAGGTGGAGAGATCATTTGTCAATTTACCATCTGTTTTTTAACTATCTTTCCTTATAATTCTTCCTGTCGCTAATCGCCTGTCTACTTTGATACTCCAGTTGTTGCCAAGGATGTAATCTGCACGGCGGCAGTGGTCTGGTCAGCAGCAACATGAAAGTTTACATCATTGTCTTATCACAGTGATGGGTCTTTGTCAAGAAAACAAAACAATGAAAGTTTTTCAACATTTTTTGTGTTTTTAAAGATAATTTTTTAAAGATAATTTTGTTTTAGAAACAAGTATTTTTACTTGTTTTCACCAAAATTGTTCTGTTTTGCAAATGATTTGTTGGCCCAATTGCAATACTTTCACAGCCCACCAGTGGGTCCCCTCCCACAGGTTGGAAACCACTGATTTATAATCTCTGACGGTGTTGAAGTATACAGCTAAAAGTCATAATCATAGCATTAATCAACAGGAAACTTTGCAAAAAAACCCATGGTATTAAATAATAGTAAATTTTGTGTGTGTGTGTGTGTGTGTGTGTGTGTGTGTGTGTATGTGAGGGTTTGTTTTTATAACCCAGTGGGGACCCGCCATCAAAAGTGACAAGCAAGACTTTGGCAAATTGTTAGCAGAGGAGCTTTAAATGAGATCGACTATGAGACAATGAGTAGTATAATGGTTTGCTTGAGATAGCTGTGAGATAACCACGACCCCTCATTTGAATATTACACGTGGAAATAAAAAGAGCTGGGAAATAAAAGTGGAATTAAGAAAAAAAAAGTCTCTGGAAGTAAATAAATGTGGAATTACAGAAGTCCCCTGAAATAAATACAAAGGAGTACACCCTCCCTCTTCATGAAGAGACCCTCCACAGCCACGCCTGTGACCCCCCACTGAGTGGGGGTGGAGGGGCCACAGTCACTCTAACTAGAGGAGGACAGCTCCTTGGTGCGCCCTCCCACTCTTCTCCACAACTTCATCTCACTTCCACACGCTGTCAAGTTGCATCAAGAAATTACTCACACAGGAAATGAACTGAGTTTGCCCTTCAAAATAAAATGTCCATATTAACGCACCATATGTCTGTCCTAGAAGAGGGTTTCCCTCTTTTTGTTTGCTCTGTGAGGCATCTTGTAAATTTGCTCAACAAATGACATGATCATCAAAAAGGCATGTAGTTTGTAAAAAAATTGCTTTTCATAGCAAATATTCAACAATGTATTGAATGAAATATTTGATATTTTTTGTGCTTGTATTTCTCTCAAAATGACTCTGTATTTGTTTGTCTTCTCTTTGAAACCTGTAGATTTCATGTCTTGTCTATTTCATTTTGCTGCCTTTGTCAAGCACTTTCTAACATGGATTTTGAAAAGTGCTCTATAAATAAATAGATTATTATTATTATTATTATTATTATTATTATTATTATTATTATTATTATTATTATCATGCCTATCCTGTAGTCATGTTGTTGTGATGCATGACATTTCATCATTATAGTGGAGAGCGTGTCCCTTCAAAGCTGTTTTCAGTAGGTTAATTGCTGCTGTAAATCAGTCTGTACCTTGTGTCTTGTCTGTTATTATTCTGTCTTAATCATGGTGGATTATTGAACCTATAGGAGACAGGACCAAGGGTCTGAGTGATCAGGGGGCTGTTCTAACATAAGGCTCAGTTAGGGGTGGGGGTTTCCCAATCATATTTCTTGTCTGCTACCACATTCCAGTAAAAACAGCTGATACTAACATCAAGTGTCCGGTTTCATAATCTGTCCACAAATAATTATGTTGTTTTTATGATTCTGTCCGTTGTTTTCTTATGTGTAACTGTTAACAGGATGGTGATGTAAGACAGATTAACTTCCAGTCATAACTACAGAAAGTCATGGAGGCAAATGACACCAGTTTCCCTCTTAAACCTTGGTTACAAGTATTCATCACATCTGTTGTTTTTTCTTTACTTATAATCCATATTTTTCCAGCACTGGTGATATTTTGTTTTTCTACACCCTCAATATCCTTAAATGTGAAATGTGAAACCTTCACAGTATCCTGTGCATGTGCAGTAATACTCTGATCATGTGCAGTTTTATCTGTGCAATTCACCTATGTGCAATATGACTGAGAACAGGGACTCACTCTGTTTTTATACAATTTATTGTTTGTGTTTATTTATTTGTACAGACTCTAATGTGCCTACTTGTCTGTAGTTTTATGTTACTTTATGTAGTTATGTTACTGTATCTTTATGTTAACTGTATGAACCACTGGAGACACTTCATTTTGCTGTACACTGCTATAACAATAAAGGCATTGAATTGAATTGTCCTCTTTTATTTTGAAGTCCGCACATCTCATGTTCCGGCCTTACGTTGTTTAGCGTAACGCCTGTAGATAGTGGTTGTCTTATGTCACGCAGTGTCCGTGTTTATTACCTGGAACATGTGGCCGTGTGTGGAGTGAACATCGCGCTCGTCTCCAGGTGTCTCCACCGTGTCTCTGAGAGTGTCACAGCCGCAGACATGACTCTGTCTCTGGGATGGCTCTCGGCTCTGGTCGCGGGTGTTTTCTCCGCTCATGTTTTGCAGAAGCTCTGCTTCCCATACTTCTGGAGAGACCTCCTCTTTCTGCTGAGGGTGATCAGGTACGGCGTGAAGCTGGAGCTGTTCAAGATCACATCCAGCGTGTGCACGGTCCTGGAGCGGTTCATCCAGCAGGCGCAGCGCATCCCCAACAAGCCGTTTGTCATCTACGATGGACGGATCCACACCTACCGGGACATCGAGCAGCGGAGCAACAGGCTCGCCAATGTTTTCCTCGAGAAAGTCAACCTGAGGAAAGGAGACTGTGTTGCCTTGCTCATGGGCAACGAGCCCGACTTCCTGTGCGTTTGGTTCGGGTTGGCGAAGGTCGGCTGCTCGGTGGCTTTCCTCAACACTAACATCAAGGCCAAGTCTCTACTGCACTGCTTCAACTGCTGTGGAGCCAAGACTCTGATTGTTGGTTCAGGTAAAACTCACCTTCTGTTGTCATCGCTGTGGGTTTCACATTGTCCTACATACATCTATGTGGCTTCACTCTGGTGCCCCGGGTCAGATATCCTCTGATGGCCTCAGTATTTTCATTGTAATATTGTATAATAACTAGAAGCCTTTCATAGACTAGTGGTTCTTAAAACCCCAAATATATCTTCTCATAAACCTTAAAACTTAAAATAAAACACAGGAAAAGTGTAAAATATGTACTTTTACACATGAGTAACGCTACAATAAGAAAATAGAACAAGCTGGCTTCCTATAATATTTTTTATTATTTGTATAAATATGTATGTCTAAGTCTATGTCCTAAGATATGGTCAGTTTTTCATCTACTATGAAATAACACAATCAATTTTAATCAACAACACACTAAAACCAACAATGAAACCAGATTGGAGGTGTTCCTCCTGAACGTTGTGCAGGTCTGATCAGCAGCCACCGGAAAAGCTGGTTTGAGGTTATTGTTGCCAGAGGAGGTTCAACCAGTTATTAAAATCACTCACACGTTTGTCTACAGCTGTGACTCAGATCACACTTCATGGCCAGTTCATTCACAAAACCAGGTCATTAAGAGGCTTCACTGACTTTTTCTTGCCACTAAACCTTTTACCAAAAATGTCAAACATTCTTCTTCTGTGGTGTTTCCAGTCAGAGAAGTTGGTGTTCTAAAATCATAATAAACTGATTCACACTTCTCCACATTTTATAGACCAAACAATCTACAAATTCAAATCAGTAGACTAATTGATAATTAAAACATTCCTTAACTACAGTGCAATGGTCAGTATTTTATGAGCTCATCATATTTCTTGAATGAATGAATGGATGAATGAATGAATGAATGAATGAATGAATGAATGAATGAATTTTTTGATGATTGAAAAATATATTTCTGCAATGCAGTCATCACAGACATTAAAAATGAGAGGATGAAAACACAGTAAAGCCCACAGGCTTATTTCCATTGTCGTCATAGAGAAAAACACTCAACACACCACAAGATAAAGAACCAAACAAAACAAGTGAAGACGATACAATCAACATAAAAATAGATAATAGATAGCCATCAGTGGGGTAGATATGGTAACAATTTTTAACAATCTTCTTTCTACTGTTGCTTTTTAAAACGTGAGAGCAAGATGTGATCATGGATGGACCTTTATTATAAACCATTAATACATTTTGGTTATGTGTTGAGGTGTTGTGATTATCTGCTGTATCAGGAGGTGACAGCGTAATCAAATGATGTTGAACCAGCACTAATGAGCTAATGTGTGAAGAACTGAGTTGAGAGTGAGAGTGTTCTCAACCACTGTTTTATCTTTATCCGCTACCACTAAAAGTGCTATATTTAGCTATAAGTTTCGCTATTGCTACATAGCTAGCATTAGCATTAACAGCTGTTTACTCTCCAGTCTAGAAGAAACGTTACTACTAACCCTCACCAACCGCTGTTTGCAGTCAACTGTCAATTCAATTCAACAGGCTTTATTGGCATGACATTTTCAATGTGCTGCCAAAGCACAATTACAATCATTCAATGGAATTAAATTATCAAATAAAGGAAAATGTCAATAATAATATTAATATGAGAAAATACAATATATTTTTTAATAGAATAAATTGATAATTAAATAAAGAAAAGGGAAAAGAAGCAATAAAATTACTGTATATACATACACACATATACACATATAACTACACATATATACACACATATAGACGTTTGCAAATATATGCATACATAAACATGTAAACATAAATTAAAGCAGTTATCAAATAAATAAAGAAAAGGAGACGGTCATAAATACATTTGGTTTCTATATTTCTACATATAGCTGTCTTCTTTTGTGACATATTTAGCAGCCAACATTGCACATTCTGAATGATGGGTAATTTCTCCCTGTCTGTTAAACTTTTAAATTCTGGGCATTTTTTTTTCAAATTTTGTGAAGAATTCCTCCCTAATGTTTCTGTATTTTTGACAGTGTGTCAGGAAATGTAGTTCTGTCTCTACAGCTCCATCATCAGTCTGTCCTCTCTGGACAGCCAGGTCTACCTGTGTCTTAACCTTGTCTCTATCACTCTGTCTTTTCTTCTACTGCTCGCATGCTAACCAGCTAGCCCAGGCCTGTCTCGTCACTTTGTTATAACAACTCACTGGAACACATGGCTCTGAGTGTCATCAATAAAAGGCTGTGAATGGACCGTATCAAGTGCTTTCTGCAAATCCAGCATGACCACAAAACGTCCCTACATCCACCTCTGTCTAATCCTTTAAAAACACAGCTGTACTGGGATGTGTTGATAGTGCTGTTACGTTTCTTCTGGACATGAAAGGAGGCTAACACGGGTTAACACGTTAACTATGAACTATTTTTAAAAACTACAGTATGTCAGCAACTGTTACTGTTCATGATTGTCATGATTAATCAGTAATTATTTACCAAACTAAAATACAGGATGTCTTCCTGCTTGTTTGTCAAACCAGCAGCCTAAAACCCAAAATGTTCAATATAAAATGGTTGATGTACATGGAATAATAATTCAAAAACTGAAATCAGAACACCTAAGATGATGAATAAGTTATCAAAATTGCTTTTGATTAAATTCCTTTTGATTGACTCATTAATTCATTAAACTTATTGTTTCAATACTGATGTCAGGGCTCAGTCAAATGAGTAAAAGCTGCTTTACATACACTTTTGAAGCATTGGTACTTACCTAGTTTCCAAGTTATGAGACTTTACAAAACGTTATAGAGGTAAATAATGAACCACTTTGGTATCACTTTACAATCAGATGACCCGTAAAGGATTTGTGAGGTTTGTAACTAGTTTATTAATTAGCTTCTTAACACTTATAAATCATTTATTAGCTGTTATAACACATTAGATAAAAAGGGCAACAGTGACCTGCTGCTTGCCAAATAGTGAGCCCACATGTCTCTGTACTGTTCAGCCTCATGTCTCATTAGTTACTGAGCTTCCTTTGTTTTCTCCATCATCAGCATTTGTACCTGCTGCTTCATCACGTTTGTTCAGTTACTATCAATGAACCACCGTCAGCATCTTAATGCTCAAACAGTTGCATATGGCAGATCAAATTATGGCAGATCACATGATCATATCAAATGAGCAGATCCATCCTCTGAGGCCTGGGCAGTGTTGTTTACCTTGACATGCTCTCAGGAGCCGTCCTCATTATAATCACAGCTGTTGATCAGATATTAACATGCAGATGCTTTTTGCTGGTTGGTCTCTTCTTCAGGACTTTATCATCCAGGTAGAACACAGGTGGGAACCTTCCTTTACCTGGTGAACTGCTCACCCATTCTTTGTCCCACTGTTCACATCTCTGTGATTCTCCCTCCATCATCTTCATGTTTCTTCTTCTTATCTTTACAACCACTTACTTATCAGTGACAAACATTTATAACTGGTAAAAGGGTAAAACACATCATCATTTATTAATGACTTACTACTTTTACCAGTTATAAATGGTAGTAACTCATTGGTAAGATTAATGAGTAGTGAGCATTAACTTGATCTTGCCAAATAGTGAGCTGCATCAATGTATGAAAACGGTGTTAAAACTTGTTTATAATTGTTTATTTATGATTTATACGTGTTAAAACACAAATGTATAAAGTAGTTATAAACCATTTATAAATATTTTATAACAGTAGCCTTATTGTACAGTGGTACCCCCTTTTTTTACATGCTATACATTTGATAGGCCCATTAAATAACAAATAGTTTAAAGTACACTCCTTGATTTTGTGAACCCCAGTCTCTTAAATGTCCCACCAGGCCACTGTTGCTGTTTTCACTCTCAGCTGTGAAGTGTGTGGAGTGATTCCTAACTGTGGGACTCGACTCTGAAAACTGCCAAACAGCAACAAGAGATTCTGTTGAACCATATTCAGCTTCCACACATTTGACTGTAAGAATGCTGCTCCTACAGTTAATAGGATTCACCATGCTGCAGCCATGTGACAGGATGACAGGTCATTGCTCAACCAAACAAGCATGATGTTTGTCCGGGACACTGTCCTCACTGCAACCCCAGTGCAACAGGAGAGGGATTCATGAAATAGCTGGAACAGTGAAACACTGATAGGAGTAGTGTGCACAGAATATTCTACTGGAGCCAGTCTTTTTATGACAGTTATGGGTATAAACTTCCTCAAGAGCAGAGAGGATCCTGTATATGTATCACTATGGTTGGTGCTGTCCAGCTGCTGGGCTCAGTGGATTCTCACTGAATGTTTTCCACACAAACATCTGATAACAGAAACGAAGATCACCACATTTTGGCTGGATTTGCAAAGTAACAGTTCTGTAATTTAGCCTGAAAGATAATGACATTTGTAGTATTGAGGAATCTGAGAGAAAACTAAGTCAAGAGCCCATGGTTCAGGATTTCTGAGCAAAATCTGATTGTAGAGGTTCAGACCGTGTGTTATTGATCAGAAAATTTGAAATGACACCAAGGATCATTATAAGAATTTATTTTATTTATTGTCCTGTTTTGATCTCTGTAAAAATCATCCGCTATGATTCATATTTAGTTTAACATGGTTTTCACACATAAAAACTGGGTCTGAAGCTCATCTCCTCTCACTTCCTGATTGAGAAATCTGGATCAGGCCTTGTGCCCCGCCCACCACCTGCTCCAGGTGGACAGGTGAAAGAGCAGAGACTGGACCACTCCGAGGTCCTGAGGTCTGGACTAGGTTGTCATTAAGGATTTCTCTCTACTTTGCTCTGTTCAGCTTTCCCTCAACTCTGACCAGTCTCCCCCAAAACACCCCCACTGCCTGATGCTGCCTCCACCATGCTTCACTGCTGGGATGGTGTTGGACAGGTGATGAGCAGTCCCTGGTTCGTTTTCTCCCTTGGTGCGACTCGTTTGTGCATGTGTAAAAACAGTAATCACATTGGGGTGTGGACCAGGACCCTTCTTCCTGTGTTTACCTTCCTGCTCCCGTCAGACAATCTGACCAATCAGAGGAGTCAATATTCTCACGTGGTTTGTAATGATGGATTTTGGTTCACTTGAATTTTTCTCTGTGTGAACACAAAACGAACCTAGAAGTTTACAAACTCATCAACTGAATCAGACCAGAGGAAAGCAACTTTAGGTGTAAAAACACTCTTACAAACAGTTCAGTCCTGGTCTCATCAGACCAGAGAATCTGGTTTCTCTCAGTCTCAGAGTCCTTTAGGAAACTGAGGAGAGGCTTCCTTCTGACTCTCTGACATGAAGCTCAGATCAGTGGAGAGCTGATGGTTGTCCTTCTGGAACTTTCTCTGGAGCTCAGAGTGACCATCAGGTTCTTGGTCTCCTCTCTTCTCCCTGATCTAGAAGAGTCCTGGTTGTTCCAGACTTGTTCATGTCAGAATGATGGAGACCAATGTTGGAAATGTTTCTGAGCCTGGACACAGTCCTGTCTCTGAGCTCTGCAGCAGCTCCTTCCTCCTCGTGGTTTCTGCTCTGATCTGTTTGTCAGCTGTGAGACCTGATACAGACAGGTGTGTGTCTTTACACATCATGTCCAATCAGCTGAGTTTACCACAGGTGGACTCCAACCAAGGTGGAGAAACATCTGAGATGATCCAGAGAAATGGAGGAACCTGAGCTACATTTACAGTCATAGTAAAGTGTCTGAAGACGTCTGTCAATGCGATATATTCAGTTTTATTTTTGTTTTGTCTGTTTTCACTTTGTCATAAAGAGGTATTGAGTGTGGACTGATGAAGGGATGAACGCTCTGTGATTCTAACTGATGACTGCTCTGCTTATTATCTCCATTCATCCTCATTATCCTGCTGCTGTATAACTCCTGCAGGGCTGTGATAGTGCTCGTTCCTCTGGGAGCTTTTATTTTTCTTTAGCTGGTGATGGAGTAGGATCCATAGGTGCACACCCCCGAGAGAGATGGCCCTGCAGCGCTGCCATGATTCACAATACAGACCAGCAGAGCAGAGTGTTACACTCCTGCCTTATTTCTTTTTATGCCCGTGGTGTGTTTACTTTCCTATTTGCTCCGATGTCTCACTCAGAACTCACATTTACAGCACCTACAGTTAAAGCTCCAGGACAGGGAGAGTGAAATGAAAAAGATCAGTCAAAGGATCCTTCTGTTGAAATTCAGTTTGTCTCCATGTCTCAGATTTGGTGGACTGTCTGGACGGGATCCTGACCAGCCTGCTGGACGACAACATCCAGGTGTGGGCCATGAAGAGCCAGAGCGAGCACACACAGGTGCACACTCTGCTGGATAAGGTCGACGCTGCCTCCGATCGTCCTGTACCGGCAGCGCTGCGGGCCACCACCTCCCTCAAATCCCCCACCCTGTACATCTTCACCTCCGGAACAACTGGTGAGTCTGTGGGTTTTCACATGTAATCTTCATTCTCTGTCATATAGACGATGCTCATAATGTGTAAGGAGACCGTGTCACAGGGATAATGTTTAAATATTTCCTGTTGATACCTGTTCAGGAAATGATGATTATTTTTAGTATTGATTCATCTATTTGTTACTTTTAGACTAGACTGCACTTCACAAACACATGCAGGTTGGGTTTAGGCCAGGTCCAGGACTTCTCTGCCTGTTGCCCAGTGCATGCTGGGATAAGCTTTTTGAACCTGAACAGGCAAGTGCATTCAGTGAATTAGTTTAACTTAAAGCCTGCTGTATTTGTGAGACTAGATTATAATTCATTCACCTCAGTGATTCAGAGATTTACATTTTCTAAAAACGTCTACATTTTACATCCTGTATTCATCAGACAAATTTTTATTTATTTATTTTTATTTTATGAGTATTAAATCCACTGGTGGAAGATTTTAAGAAAGAAGTTGAGATATTGTTGAGAAAAAAGTTTTTGTATTTCATTTCAAAATGCAGAGCTACATGTGACTTTGTGTGAACCAGCACACCTGCAACATGTTAAGATAACAGTATGTCAACACAGGGTTGTGTCACACTAACACTTCCATCCATATGTTGGGAAACAGAGCTTTCAGAAGGTCTTCAGACCCCTTCACTTCTGTCACATTTTAATATTTTGCAGCCTGATGCAAAAATCATTCAAGTTAATTTTTCTCTTATATTGTTTGCGTGTATTTCCAAATATGATCACTCACTCACCACTGTTAGCAGAATTGCACTTAGTGATGAGAGCAGTGTAGATGGCAATAGAAGGAAGGAAGTAGAAGGAAGGAATTCCATTATGAATGAAGTTTCCCTGTTGCAGGGAGAAGCTGTAAAAGCTGAACAGGCAGTGAATAATTAGCTGTCAACTAGATCTTGTCCTGGAGATTTATCTACGGAGAGTGTTTCATCTAATGATATCTCTGGTAATATGAAACATGATAACTCATATTTAGCCTCATATCTTGTATCTTTGTTCCAAAATGGTCAGTGAAGTGATTACCCCTGTGTTCCTGGTCGAGCTTCACTTTTTGTACACCCTCTGCTGCATTCCACATTTGTTTTGAATTGTTTACACATCCCTCAGGTACTCAGATGTTTTTAAATATGCTTTTTCTGGCAATTTAACTTCACCACAAAATTTCATCATTTTCTATCGAGCATAACATCAGAATCTAGTTTGTGTCTGGATGCTACTGATTTTCCCTCATCCCTTCCAGCTGTTGCTTTCTTCACTTATTGGTTGATCCAAGGAGATGGTCTAGCTTTAATTATGCATTTTCTTCATGGAGCACAATGTTGGATAATGTCAGTAAAACAGGATACACATGGTCCCGTGAAGCAGCAGCCAAATCTCTCTGATGATCTTGTCATCTTGCTTTACAGTCACTCTTGGGTATATTTTATTATTTATATAATGTATGGGCCCAAATTAGGGTCAAAAAGATTTTGAGCTTGTAAAGTGATGTTCACAAAAAAGTCTCTAGTTGTGCACTATTGGTCAAAAGTTTTAGAACTCCCCCATTTTTCCAGTTTTATTTAAATGTCAGCAGCTCAAGCGAAAAACATTAAATGGTACGAGGGTCAGACGAAAACTGCCCTTGATAAAGGTCAGGTCTCCAAAACCTGAAGAAACATTCAAATCATTGATAGAAATCTGGTCTCTTTCAGGGATGAATAAACTGGTGAACTTCCAGCTTTGATGACTGATAAACCCTCTGTTTGTACAAACTGTGTCACTACATCCTCTGATCATCATTAGACAACACTGTACTGCAGGACGTAGGACTGTATACTGCTGTCAGAGTGGAGGGAGACAGAGCAGTAACTGGTTGGTCAGAGCTTCATCCTACAGCTTCTTTAATTTCAGAGACACAGACATTACATCATGTAAATTTCACTAGCAACTGGAAAAAAGTGTTGTAAATCAACCTCTGTAAATCTTTAATATATACCTATATGAGAAATTGACTTAAATTTAATAAATTGAAATTGAATAAAATCTTTGAACACATAATGTCAGTGATGAGATTACACAAAGACACTGTGAAAAAAGAACAATCTGCCCTCTGATCAGACCAATCAGATTCAGGTGTAAAGAAAGGGTCTGATATTGTATTATTTTTTTATTATTTGTGAACATCATTTAGCTCAAAATCTTTTTGACCCTAATTGGAGCTAGTAGGAGAGTTTTTAAAATGTGGGGGAAACCCAGAGAGAGTGAACATCTGTCCAACTGTGACCACATTTCAGGGTCTGCTTATCTTTCATGACTGGAGTCAGAAACCTGTTGGGGTGTCTTCTCAGGATCAGCCACTAAGCTGTTACAATATAAATGCAATTACAATAGAAATGCAACATTGTATAACATTGTGTTGTATTGTCTTGGAGGTAGCATGTGGCATCAGATGTCATCAGTATGTCAGCAGTATCATGTGTTAATTTTCACAGGGCTCCCGAAAGCTGCAGTGATCACGCACCTACAGAGTCTGAAGGCAGCGGCGGGTTTCTGGGCGTTTGGGGGGACTGAAGACGATGTGGTCTACATCCCTCTGCCGCTCTACCACAGCGCAGCTTCTCTGATCGGTATAGGAGGAACTATAGAGCTGGGTAGGCCTCTGAGTTTCTTCATGACACTCATCTTAATTCTTTGTATTCACTATATGTTGTAAGCATTTCTTTTGTCACATAAGATGAAATCTAAACATCTAAAAAAAACACTATCTAGATCAGGGACACTGAAGGCCCTCTGTCAAGACACAACTAACCTTTGTTTGTTCATATTTTGGCAAATTGGCACCATTAAAAGTCAAAGTAGCAATTAACAGTTCTTTTTTTCATTTTATGTATGGAAGTACAGACAACGTAGAAACTATTACAGCTTAAAAACAGGATGATTCTTGGGGCAGTTCTGGAAAAATAAAAATATAAAAATATCGTGTTCACATTTGACTGAGTTATGACTCTGAGCGGGAGTATGATCCCACTCCCTCCCAACTGGAGTACCCCAAGGATCAGTACTGGGATTTCTTTGTAGTATAAACCAATATGTGGATGACACCCAACTATACCTGTTGTTCCTGCCAGACGACCCCACGGTCTCTGTACGGATCTCAGCTTGTCTCTCTGACGTATCCACATAAATGAAGGAATGCCACCTTCAACTTAACATCTCTAACCTGATTCAGTACACCACCCAACTCTTGATCCAGGCCATGGTTATCTTTTGCTTCAACTACTTCAATGCTCATTTTGGTTAATTTCCTTGAAAAAGAAAAGGGTGAGAAACACTAACAGTTCAAAGAACAGAAATCAAGTCTTTCAACTACAGAGGATCTGTTTTAAACTTCTATACAAAATGGACTTTTGATGGACTGTTTTATGATTGACAGTGATATGATGTCCTCACTATAGCCATCATATGATTTGAGCTCCATGTTAGATACAGAGGAGCAGACAGAGTCCACTGTCCAAGTGTAACTGCTCAACTATGTGACCCCATTGAGGACCCACTGTTTCACTTCGACTAGCAGCTTAATTAGAGGCTGTAGAGCAGGAAGTGGACACTGGAGACTATTATGGAGAATATTAATCCTGTTGTAAATTCTTGGTTTCTGAATTTTATCCAACTCTTACCAAAGTTGGCGGTTCTTAGTCCTTCATTGGCAGAGACCAACATCCCGACAGGGTGTACCAACAAACCTTGGTGAGGCCACTGACCTGACAGTTTTAGATGTTGAAATGTAATAAACTTTGTACACATTTGTCACTTTTAGCCTTTAGACTGTCCACACGGAGCCAACTGTTATGTAATTGAAAAGTCAATAAAATGTCCTTCCCTGACCTCTTTACCTCGACTTCGATGGAAAACATCATGAGGTCGAGTAAAGATGTGAAGGAGAATTCATAATGGCTTAGGAGAAGACAGCTGCGGTGCTAATGCTAAGTTCACAATGGCAAATCGGCACTCGATTAGTGTTTGTGAACTGTTAGAAAGGCACAATCCAAGTCACTCGCTAATGCATCATAGACACCAGAAAGATATCTAGCAGGCTAAATATCTGGACCTGTTGGGGAGTCCAAAACCAGTTGAGAAAAGCCATACTCGCATTTTTTTATCCTGGTATCTCAAGATAACAATATATCACAAAAAAGTACAAGTGGTTCAAAATGAGTTTTTTCCTTCTAAAACTGACTGTGTCTGCCACAGCTGAGCTCCTAAATTGTGCAGGTATAAAGTGAATCAGGTTATTCCTCAATTGTTCCTGATTAGAGAAATTGGAAGTGTTACAACTGACTCGTGTTACAACCATCCCTGGTCTCCCCTACAGTCACTGATCTTGGGTTATTCCAAGCCATATCCATTCTTTCATCTAATATCCATTCATCCTCTTTAAATGTATATGTACTGTAGTATTCAAAATAAAAGCTAATTGCCAAGCTAGCTCACAAACGAGTTATTTTCAGCCTCTACATGAAAGTTTTTTTATGTTTGGTATTAAGTCAATTAAAAACTGTAGCTGGCTAGACTGCATTTTAACTTACTGATAGAACAAAGGTCACAGAACAAAATAACATTTGTCTTTGAACCTTTACCAGCAGATAACATTGGCAGACATGTTGTCCTTGTTATTTGCAATAGGTATGTTTAGTAGGTCAAAATGAATGCCGTTACTCTGTGCCCCAGTTTTTTGAAAGACATCAATAAGGCACCATGTGTTCTGTTTAAAGTAGGCCTGTCTCTATTTGTGCTAATTTCTTCACCTCTGTTTGTGGAGGGCATCCCTTCAGGGGGGCAGTATTGTACCTCAGATGTTATCGTTATGTTAGGTTCAAATCCACAGGTATGACACAGGTAGCTTGTTGTTTTATTTTCTTTGATTTTTACATGTATAAAATTCTAAATGGAAAATCATTGTGGGTTTGCACAGAGAGCATCTCTCATGTGTGGAGTTTGGAGATATATTTGGTAATAAATACACCATGTAGTTGACTGGGGACGGTTGAACATTTTTTGCATTTTTTCAGTTACTCAGAGAGTACTTGTTCTAGACCAACCAAACCTTTATATAATAAACGTATATCTGTCCGACAGTGACCCATACCATTTAAAGATGAGTCATGAGACGTGACATATGATTCACTATTTTTTTTTAATGCAAAAAAAGATGTTGCAACTGACCCCAACCCTGTACATTAAATTTCACCAATTAACTTTTGCTTTTGTCTCAATAAGCACAGTATTCTGAAAATATGCATTGTTTTACAATAATATTGTAGTACTATTTATTTATTTATTGTAGTAGTAGTATTTATAGCAGTTGTTGAGTTTTGTTTTGCCTACAACATAGGTCTAGAGTCACTTAATTGCTTATGATGAACAGAACAGGTAAATATATTATAAGACCATGAGAGGTTGACTAAATAATTCCTAAAATAACTTGTTTTTATTCTGTGTTTATGTGTTAAAATGGACAATTACTGCTGCATCTGTTTCTGTCAGTTTCATATTTTTCCTATTTGGAACTAAAATGTTAAAAACACTGTTGTGTGGTCTGTTGTGATTTGGCTGCTCAGCTTGAGGAAAGTTACAATAACTTGCTGCAACCGTCTCCACCCTGTCAGCCCTGACAGAACATCATGTGATAGACACACTGACACATGCTAACCAAGTCACCAACACAATGATTCAAACTAAATCAGTTTTGATTCAATCAAACAAAAGCTCAGGTATGGTCAGTTTAACAATGTTGAACATGTTTTCTGTCTTCCTGGTGGAGGAGGGTCTAACTGAGCATGTGCAGTACAAGTGTCATCACTTGTTGCAACCATCCCCAGTCTCCACTGACCAGTAGCAAAATGTAGGCAGTGCAGCCAGTACAGCTTGTGATGAAACAGATCAGTATGTCTGATCTGTATATATTAAGATCCATGTTTATTTTAATAGGTGTATGTATTAGATATACATCGTATTGAAAATGGAGAATAAATGTAATGACACTGTTGTCTGTTGTTTTTCAGGTGCAACCTGCGTGTTGAAGAAGAAGTTCTCAGCCTCACAGTTCTGGAACGACTGTAGAAAACATGACGTGACTGTTTTCCAGTATATAGGTGAACTGTGCAGATACCTCTGCAACCAGCCCAAGGTAATCTTCTATTTTATAACCTCTTACACAAATTATATCATGCCTGTCTCTGCATGGATGTACTGACACAACCAACACTCTTCATTTCTCATACATTCTAGTATAAAACTGTTTGAAATAGAATTAAACTGTTGTGTTTCCCTCCATATTAAAAGCACAATGTGAATGTTATTAAAGTATTTGATCTGTTTCATCCACTAATGTTTCCAGTTAATGAACAACAGAGCGAGCAGAGTCACAGTGAAGTGCTACTTATGAATCATTCAAGTACCATTGTGCAAAACTGTGGCAGAAAGATAAGCAGGGTCTTTGTTTTAGTGTGTGTCCTCCCATTGTGGACAGACACACACACACACACACACACACACACAGAGAGTGAGGGCAGAGCTCGTCCCTTCTTGAGGCTGAACTCAAAGTTCTCTTTGTCCACTCTCTCCCTCAGTTATGTGGCTGTGTGGGTGGAGGTCCTCCCCAGTCTCTGACAAATTAAAGATGTAGACACGTACAGTATGTGTGCACACAAGCATGAGCACTAATTACTGCTTGTGTGCTGCCTTTATGCACAGTGATCAATGTGCAAGCAGGCATGTGCACATCTTCTGAAGGTTGAGAAACACACTGTGTTACTGTCAGCACAGGTCTGATGGTGCTCACTGCTTTTATTAGATGATTACATGTAGTTGTTGATTGAACCAGTATTCCCTTATAAAGATCCAGTAAAGGCACCATCTTTAAAGTATGATTGACATGTCATTAGTCTAATTAGCTTGTTAGAGCTGAGAGAAGACGACTATTTATCAGTGGTTGTTGTGTTAAGCCGACCTGATACAAACAAACTTTTCATTTGGTTTCTTGGTGGTGAAGCTGCTCTTGTATTTTTCAGTTCAGACTGTATAAACAGAAACATACAGTTTGTATGTAACAAGGGATTACCATGTTTTCTTCTAACAAATGGAAAAACATGCATAAAGGTCTCTGTCCATGTGTAGTTTGATTATAGATCAGGTCTAGGTTCTATATTAATACTGTGAAAGTATCAAAGCCTCAGTCCACAGAGAAATGCACACAGCCTGTATTCAGACTTAAAACCAGCCGTCAGGACTTCTGGAACTTTGTGATGTCACAACAAAGCTGTCACTGCCCCCCTGGACCCACCATCCATGATTTGGTTTCTCTGAGTGTTTACATGAGATCTGCTATGTTTTTATCAGATCACTCAGAAGAGAGGTTCAGAGCCTCCTTTCTTCTGATTGGCTCACTGACCTGTTGTTACTAGAGCTCCAGAGAGAAGCCTGAGAGAGGCGATGTAAAACTACATTGAGATAGTTTTTGGTTCTTAAAACCAGAAATATATCTTCTGATGGACCAACACTTTAAATAAAACACAGGAGAGGAGGAGAATATGGAGCGTCAACAGCAAACTCACAGCAAATACAAAAAAAACCCAAAAATGCAAGTACTAAACCAAAAACAACCTAACCCTGAAAACAAATATTGCACGTGCTGGCTACCAAAGTCTGCACAACTGTACACCATGCAGTCCACATGCTGCCATAGCAACCTCAGCCACATGGCTCTGTTGTTGCATGGGCAACTAATAGAAACACCACCTGGCATCTATACTTTGTATGAGAAAAGCATCTTTTCTGCACTGAAATATTGATAATATTGAAAAATCCATAAGAGCAGCTGCTTTGTGAAGCATTCTTTTCTTTTTTTTTCTTATTTCCAGCACATTATATAATTGTGTGTGTGTGTGTGTGTGTGTGTGTGTGTGTGTGTGTGTGTGTGTGTGTGTGTGTGTGTGTGTGTGTGTGTGTGTGTGTGTGTGTATGTGTGTGTGTGTGTGTGCACACGCACGCACTTGTTAGAACAGATTGGTGGGACGCTCCTTGTAACACCAATTAGCTTCACACTAATTTGACCAGTTTGTATTCATGGTATTTCTTTGTTTGTGACACACATACACACACACACACACACACACACACACACACACACACACACACACACACACACACACACACAGTCATTGCATAACTTTTCCTGTATATTCCAGTGTGTCAGCTTCTTGAATTACAAACATTTCTTCTACTACTCCCTCCATCAGACAGAGGTGGATAAAGTTCACAAGGTGCGGATGGGGGTGGGGAACGGGCTGCGGCAGGACGTGTGGCGGGAGTTCCAGAGTCGCTTTGGGAACATTAAGATGTGCGAGGTGTACGGCTCCACGGAGGGAAACCTCTGTTTCATGAACCACATCGGCAAGATTGGAACTGTGGGCCGCTCCAACTTCTTCTACAGGGTAAGTGCTAAGTGACAAGAATGAACTAATTCCAATTTGATGGTCAGAGGTCAAAGGTCACTGTGACATCACAGGACCCACTGAAGTGAGTGTGCTCAGGAAGAACAGTCTGCTCTGTCCCTTCCTGAAGAGGACTTCAGTGTTGTGAGTCCAGTCCAAGTTTTTATTGATTGCACTTGTCTGTCTGAGCTTCACTTCCTGTTCTTGGGTGACATCCAGGACGGGGGGGGGGGGGGGGGGGGGGGCTCCTGTCCCCTGGTCCTCCACCACAGGCTCAGTGGTTTTGCTGATACTGAGCTGCAGGTGGTTGTCGTTGCAGCATGTGACAACGCTCTGGTCAGTCCTCTGTCAAAACCGTCTCTGAGTGAAGACAACATGTTTCATTCATGTCAACATAGTGGTAACTTACATTTTACCAAAAAAAAAAGATACCTTTTATTAAATTCCTCCAAAGTCTCCTCTACATGTTAAATGCCTGATGAAGATCCTGTTGGGTTGAAACATTGTGTTTGCTGTTGTCAGTTGAATACTGGGAGCTGTACCCCAGTGTGCGGATATTGTTTCACTTTTTACCAGAGTGTGGACAGACATTGATGTTAAGTGCAACTTGACTGGGTGTTCGAAGCAAACGACTTTGAGGTTATTATTGATTCATTTGGAAGTGCAGGGTTATTTAAAGTTAGATAATGACAAACAGCTAATATAATAAAATCCATCATGTTGGTCAGCACTGTTGAGACACTTTGCAGTTGGTCAGCAACACAGATATACATGCCTTTATGCAGATTTACCTCACCTAACCAAGAAATCCACTAACTGCTGCAAAGGGATTAACAGGAAGAGCTTTTTCAAAACTTGTGCTGTAAATCTTAGTGGGACTGAGCCTTTAAACAAGACAAGAGAAGATCAATGCCTTGTTTTCAGCCTGTCGAGGCTGAAACTTTCACTGCACCCAAAACAGAAACCACAACCGTCTTGATCAAGTTTCTATTCTTATCTGTGACAGAACAAAGAGCCTCTACAGCCTCTGTGAGGGGGCAGTTAGGCACAGCAGTGTTCTGAGATAAATTCTAACACATCTTAGTAAAGCATGTTAGTATGCTAACATGAGCTAATCAGCACCAAACACCAACTACAGCTGAGGATGATGGGAGTGTCATCAGTTTTGCAGTTATTTAGTCTAAATCAAAGACATTTACCTGAGTCACCAACGTCAGCAAGATTCATCCTCTGAGGACCATGAATGTCTGTATCCAGTAGATGCTGAGATATTCCATAGGACAAGTGAACCTGCTGGTGGTCCTCCAGGAAAAGTCAGGGTATCACTGGGGTTCATCTGCTGGGGACCCTGAACGTCTGTACAGACTTTCATCTTGGTTATTGAGATGTTTCAGTCTAGACCAAAGTGGTGGAACAGCCAAGGAACTGATGTTAACCTGGTGCTAGCATGGCTACAAATACTCCAAATATATAGTTTGTCCTTGTGGTGTTAGAAAGTAAGTAGAGGTTCATCCTCTGTGGAGCAAAATGTTGTCTATATATGTAATGGTGGTTGCCTCTTGTAGTATTATATCTGATATGTATAAGTGATATACTTCACCTGAAAAGTCAGGGGGTCATGAAAGGCATTAAGATTTATCCTCTGGGGATTATGAATAACAAGGTTCATGGCTGTTGTGTTGCAGGTCGACTTTGGTCTTTCTGACATAATTGGAGTTGTTTGTATCTGTCATGAAGACAAACAAGGAAATAAAGTTGGTTGCATTAATGTACAGTAGCCTATGTATGTGTGTGTTTAGTAGATCATCTGCATTCATAGAAAGCACTGAGCTGCATTACACACAAGAAACATTCCCAAGGAATGAATCATTGACATTCTTCCCAGTATATCAGGTTTTTCTTGTTTGCTCTGCAAGTGCAAGGTATTGTGGGTATTAAAGTCTTGGCGTTATTATCGTTAATCCTTAAAGGAATAGTTCAACATTTTGGGAAATATACTTAATCTCATCAGTTCAGAGCTGGAGTCAGGATGTGGTTAGTCCAGCAATGACTGCATACTGTTGCCCACACAGTTAACTCAGTTAACTGTATAAGATCATAAAAGACTGTAATAACTATCAGAGATGGGGTTTTACTGCAGACAGAATTATATAGCATACACAAAGTGGTTTAAAAAGTAAGTATACAGACAGTGTAACAGTACCATCCAGTACCCCCTCCTGCAGTACCGGCACCTGACGTCCCAGGCAGATCAGGGTGACTAAGCTGAAAGTCTCCAATGAGGGAGGGATCCAGAATGCCTCTGGCTAACACCCTCAATCTCTCCTCTGGACCATACCCCTCCCAGTCCACCAGATACTGGCAGCCCCCGCCCAGACCTTCTGCCCAGCCTCGCCGTGTGGCACAGGTGTCCAGTGATGATTAGCCATTGTCTGATACCACTGCAGCAGAGCGGCACGGGCCCTTCTCCAGGTACTGTGACACCTGCAGACGAGGGCTCGGGCAGAAGGGACTGACATCTCCCTCTCGGGGTCAAGGATCGGGGGAGGCTGGCGAGCATACATGCATTGGATGGGCGACAGTCTTGTTGCAGAAACAGGTAAAGAATTAAATCCACAAAAGTAGCTTACTCCAGTTTGTAGGATTCTGGGACAGGGTTACCTTCGGAGATGGGGAGGCCAGTGACAAAGTCCAAAGAGATGTGGGACCATGGTCAGTGAGGAACGAGCAGGGGGTGAGGTAGGCCAGCTGGCTGATAACAGGACGGCTTGTGTGTGTAACTCCTGCTGATGAAGTGATGAGAAAGGCGGAGGGCTGTGGATCAAACAACAGAGAAGAGTTTTACAGAAAGGAGCAGCGAGTGGCTGAGTCCATGTCGTACCTCTAGACCTGGACCACAGGTGCGTTGTGGCAGTGATGCTTCCAGGAGAGAGGGAGCCAACAGGACGGGACAACAAGGATCCTGCACAGGTGCTGCACCTGGTTGGAGAGGCAGCTGATCATGCGCTCTATGGACATGTGGAAGTTCTCCTGCAGGAAGTGCGGCTGCTGTATTGTGGTGGAGAGGATGGACAAGCTGATGTCCCTGATTCTGGATGGTGGCACAGGGTGGGTCTGATCCTGCTGAGTCCTTCATGGTCAGATTGTACTGTAACAATCCTAAACCAGGGAAGTGAGTCAAGTGCGGAGTCAAACTGGAAACCAGGTCAAAGTCTTTACTTGCCTGTGTTAATAGGTTGTCAGTCAGTGTAGAGAACAGTACAGGTGAGGAGCAGGCAAACGGTCTTACACAGTGAATATGACTCCTGACAGGAATGGCTGACAACCTGACTAACAGGTGACACAAAGACAATGTGGCAACTGAAAGAGGGAGAGGCTAAACTATATATACAGGTGTGATTGGCTAACAAGACACAGGTGAACACTGGTTTGAAAGAATACAAAGGCAAGGAAGTAAAACAACCATGAAATATGAGAATGATTTCAAAATAAAACAGGAAATGACTACAAGGAGTCCGAGCGAGATGTCACTGACAGATTGACATGGAATCAAGTTTTATAAATTATTGGAAAATCATAACAAAGCTGTAGCTTGAAGCAGGTGTATATTGACATACAGTCTATTGTATGTGCAGAGCTCACTGCAGATACAGGGGGCTCCAAAAGTCTGAGACCACTTTCCCATTCAAGTGAATGGGTATTTATGAGTATGCAAAAGCATGCATATATGATGTGTGTTTTTTTATTGAGGTGCATAGACGTTTGCACCCACATTCACTTCCCAACTTCCCACATCTTTAACTGTGGCAGAAGCAGCACTTAAAGGTGACCACTGTGTGAAGTGTAGTGAGTGGTGGGGGTAGGGGTAAACAGCTTAGAGGAGATCTGCCGGGTCATGTATTATCCAGGATGTAGCATCAGACGTTCTTCAGGGGGTCAGTGAGCTGACTGTATGTAGTCACTGTACAGGCCATCCAGTACTGCCTGACTTTTGAATCAGAGGTGTTGGTACACCTGACAATTTGATGAAATACATTGCAATATTGTGTTACATGGTTATTTTATTATATGGGAGTTGTTATTGTGTAATGCATATAAACATGCCCAGCCTGCATGGGCTTATGTGACATGACAGAAATTTAATAGATTTAAATATCTAATTCTAGATATTATGTTATTACCTATTATTTATCTTATATATTATTTATTTATTTATTTATCTATATACTATAGATATAGTTTATTATAATTACAATAAATTGTAAGATGTCTGTGATATCCCGGGCTTGACAAAACACCAGAAACACCGTGTCTTGTGAAGATAACGTCTCGGGGTGTTAACGTTATGCTGCTGAAACTCAGCTGTTGGGTAAAGAATGTCAACCTCAATAATTAGTAGTGGAGATTAAGCTGTAAGTCTGATGAGACAGTCAGGAAAGATGAGCAGTGAAGTGGCTTTCCTGTGGCTGTCGTGGGTATTAGCCTCACTAATGCTGGTCTATGGATCTGCTGTTAATCAGAGGACTTACAAAAGGGAGGCTGCATGTATTTAGCTCTAATCTCTGACCTCAGCTATTCTTAGGTCTGTCTCAGTGCCTGTCCTGCTGGCCCACACACTGTTATAAAAGAAAGTTATAGAAGTGAAGTTATGAAACATAATGATTTCCTCATTTGGTAAAGAGGATTGTCAGTTCTAGTTATTCTTAGCTTCTTTCATTTGTGTATAGTAATAGGAGCTGTTTTTGCATTGATGTATAATTTGTAATGACTATTTGGAAAACACAACGTAAAAACAACATCATAATAGATTTTGAGTTGTGATCTGTATTTGCAGGTATCAGCGTACACCCACATCTGTGCAGGGGCATTTACCATGCACCTAAATACAACCACAGATATGTATCAGTGCACATGTTTTAGAGATGTAGCAGCACTTTGCAGTTTATTATGTGGTGTTTACTGTGCACAGAGAACTTTACTGCCTGACTTAAGCAACTGAAATATTCTGGAAAAAGTCTGTGGAGAGGCGACGTCTTAAAGCTCCATATTTTCCTCTTCTTCTGTGTTTTAGTTGAAGTGTTGATCCATAAGAAGATATATTTGTGTTTTAAGAACCAAGTTTTACATCTCCTCTGTCAGGCTTCTCTCTGGAGAGAGTACAGCGTGTTTTATCAACTCATCATTTCTTCTGTGTGTGAAAACTTCATATAAAAAGAAAATAGTAACTAAATGTAGTGGAGTGAAAAGTCTGAACTGTGAAAACAATCCCACTATATTTTTTTCTCAGGTTCTCAGGCAAAAATGTGTTATTATATTGAGGTGGGGTAGCTGTGAGTGCAGACATCAGCACACAGACACAGACAGACAGACATATACAGTGAGCGAGAGCCGGTCTCCACAGAGGTTCCATACAATAATCTGTTGTGCTTCAGGATGTCTTCCACAAGATGCAGCACATATTCAAACATGCTACACAACATACAAGACTGTTGTTTGCGTTGCTCTTCATTAAAGTTGTGGGAACACTTGACCAGAACGCTTGGCTATTTGGTCTCTATCTCACAAGTTTTTTTTTTTTTTTTTGGATGTGCTGCACAATACAAGTACCATCGTCATCATCAGAGAAGAGTGGCTTTGTGTTCCTCTTTGCTTCTCTGCAGTTTTAGTCGTCTGCTAATGTCTCTCATGTGTCTTTAAAAGCTGCTGGGCTCAGTAAAGATCCTGGTTATGGAAGTGTTGGAAAATGTCTTGAAAAGCAGTAACTTGTCACATACATCATACATAACTTTAAATCTGTATATTGGTTGTTAGAACATTAGAACTTGTGATATCACTGGCAGTAGTACTGACGTAAAAAAACGGTTTCTGATAACTCTTTACATTTTACAAGGACTAACATGAATAACAGTAAACATGTAGAAAACAGAGTGTTCTAGCTTTAACAGTCTGGAGCTTTCTACTGCATCTCACATTGTAATTTCCATCACAACTCTTACAGCTCTGCAAATGCCATTCACTGAGGAACATGAGATGTAGGCGGTAGTTTAATTTTGGGCCTGCTACCTCTACCGTATGTTTTTTTTTTTTTTTTAAAGAATTTTACAATTTCCATCATCGTCATTTTTCACAGCAGACATTTTTACAATCCATAAAATTATTAAAAACTTTGAATAAAGGCTGTGTTCAAGTTCCAGGGCTCTGGTGATGTCCCTGCTGGCTCACTGGGATTTTTAACTGGAACAGACCTTATTAATGGTGTTTTCCTCCTGTTCTTTTCCTGCTCTGACCAGTCAGTATGTCTGCTGTGACAAATATCTGATGTTTAACCTGAAGTTGTGGATGATTGTTCCATTAATTAGTTTAGACGTCTGGCCTCTTTAGTAATATTTTCTTTTACCTTTTCGTGCAGCTCCTGTTCAAGTACGATCTGGTGAAGTATGACATGGAGAAAGACGAGGCAGTGAAAGATCAACACGGTTTCTGTCAGCGAGTGGAGAGAGGTAAGAGTGTAACAGCTGTCAGCTCATCTTTGTCTTCACCTGGAAAACATCTGTACTGATGTGAATCCTTTTCCTCTCAGGTGAGACGGGGCTTCTTCTGTCCAAGGTGAGCGCCCTCAGCCCGTTCTTCGGCTACGCTGGGAGCAAACAGCTGACTGAGAAGAAGCTGATGAGGAACGTGTTTGTGAAGGGAGACGCCTACTTTAACACGGGCGACCTAATGGCTGAGGACCAGGAGGGCTTCATCTGTTTCAGAGACAGAGTGGGAGACACCTTCAGGTACAGTGAGAGACTGAGACTTTACTGCAGCTACAAACTGCACACCTGCACCTGAGACGTTTACCAAGCAGACCAGCAAAGAGATGCTGCTGAGGTGATGTCACTTCCTGTATGACATATTCATTTATTTTTCATTTTCTAAGGCAGATTAGTGTCATTGAACAAAGTTAAACAAAGATGACTTTGTGAGTGAACAAAAAAAATACACCTCCCATGAAATGTTACTTCGCAGCAGCGCACGTATCCGCATCCATGATATCTGCCAAAACCAATTTTACAACTTCTTGGCTGTAATCTCTGCAATGTAAAACCTTCTTCATGTTATAACACTCTGAGGTTCAGACCCCAACAGCACAGCAGGAAAATCAGAGGAGAGGTTTGTTATTATCAGGGTCTGTGATGGTTGAGGGGCGATGTGGACTTAACCACAGTTATCTCATTACAGGCCTGTTTCTAATCTTGTCTAAATTGTTTTTGGTTTGATGGTTTTTTTTATTTTATTTATTATTAAGTAAGAACATGATTATTCAGGTTTCCTCCGCAGCGCTGAGGTAGAGCTCTAAAAGTGGTCTACGTGTCACATGTCTGTATTGGATACACAGGACCACACTGTCACTATTAAATAGTCTTTAATACCTCCTCCAGACATGGGATCACTCTGCCTGGATTGGTCATTTGTGTCTGAAGTGGTTTTTCTTAAAAACTCTTAAACAGTCATCTGCTCTGATGAGTGCAGCTCTGATTAAACTGTCAGTGTTATAGCCATGCTGGGTGGTGGGGACCTCTGCTGGTGACTTTATAGATGCCCTTTGTTTGTGCAGGGAATGTTGAGTGGCGACAACAGTTTCCAGAATATTGATTTATACCACGCAACTAAAATAACAATGAGGGAGTGATAACAGAATGGTAGTATTAATGCAGGCTGTGTATGACATGTCCTGAATGTAATTCTTCATCACTTTGACTGAAGTCAGTGTTTCCTCTGGTTTCAGGTGGAAAGGTGAAAATGTAGCGACCACAGAGGTGACAGAGACTCTGGGGCTGGTGGATTTTATCCAAGAGGTCAATGTGTATGGAGTGGAAATACAAGGTACGTTTCAAATGTGTTTTGTGTTTGCAAATATTCAAATACTGCTCATCTACAGTAAGTCAGCCGCAAAATGACAAAGATATTGTATCTGCAAGGTCTTCAGCATGACTGAGCAAACGAGATTTGGAATAAGACAAACTTGTGTACATTTTGTGATTATGAAATATGATTATTTCACTGAAAATAATGTCGTTTTTGCTTCATCAAAGAAAGAATAAGATGTGTGTGTGTGCAGGGCACGAGGGCAGAGCAGGAATGGCTGCCATGATAATGAGACCAGGCCTCACGTTTGATGGGAAGAAGCTGTTTGAACATGTGAAGAGGGATCTCCCAGCGTACGCTCACCCACTGTTCATCAGGCTGCAGGTACTGAGCCTCAACGTCAGCGTCACCACCACTTCAGCACAGTGTCACTGTGTCACTGTAGTGGAGTGACAAAAGGACTGATCTCAGGGCGGTGAATATCTGCAAAACACATTCATTTATTTACACACATGAACTAAACCATCGCAAGCAGTGGCTCTCAACCTGTGGGTCGGGGCCCACTGGTGGGCCGCAAAAGTATTGCAAGTGGGCCGACAAATAATTTTCAAAACAATTACATTTAGGTGAAAAGATGTAATTCTAAGATAATAACAGACTATATTTTTGAATGGTTTTGGTGGTAACACAGCTCAGTCTTCACAAACACAAACCATACGTTTAAAGCTCCAGCGGTTTTACTAAATTCATGGGGTCCAAAACCTGGGAGCCCACTCTACTTGTGGGCTTTGACCACAAACCTGATGGTGCTTCTGGCTCAGCTCCAGAGATCCTATATACAGATGTTGATTGACTAACGACCGGTCTTTGAGTTGTCTGAGCTCTGTTGCAGTCGATGTGCACAGCTGTAAAGTCTGTTTCACCAGTATGCTCTTCTGGCCTGCACAGGTGTCAGCAAGAGAGCAATGATAAATCACCTGAAGTATGTAGTGTGCACTGTATCGCTTTAGTTCCTAAACTAAAGAGCCAAACTGAGATCCAAAAGTCAAAACATTAAACAGTTCCATTTTTAATTTTAAACTCCTTTAAGTCCGTGTGCAACCAGCTGTCACACTGAAGTGATGCTGATTCTTGTTGTTTTTTTTCCCTCAGGAAACCATGGAAACAACAAGCACCTTCAAGCAGCAGAAGTTCCAGCTGGTGCGGAGCGGCTTCAACCCCTCAACTATCTCTGACCCCCTCTATGTGTTGGACTACCAGCAGAGGAGCTACATCCCTCTGACGGACAGTATCTACCAGAGCATCCTCGCTGGAGAACGCAAGTTATAGACCTCGCACGTCTGGGTATGATGAGAAACAGTGCACAAAGAGGGATGTGAATGAGCTCTGCTGACTGCAGTGTTTTATATTTAATGGAGCCACGAGCCTACAATCAGGTTGAATGAAAATACATCATCACCTTAGTTGACTGTATACACATGAACAGTAATGTCCCTATGAGTTATTATTGTTAAATAATATATAAAGTATAATATAGAGACCGTGACAAATTAAAGGAAAAACTTGAAAAATGAGGAGAATCAGGATGAAAATGTTTCTATCCACAGGTCACATCCCCCTGGTTCCCTCCACTAACAGTCAATGGGATTTTAACATTGTCTCTTGGATTATTAGAGAAAATAAACAACAGTTAATGATCCTGACAGGTTTAGTTCAGCAGGATCATCTTCACTAATGAACTCCACTTCATGATGTTTGAAGCTTCAATACAATCAGCAGAAGTAAAGAGCTAATGTTAGACTATAAACCAACTACACCACGGCCACATGACTTCAACACCACGGTCACATGACTTCAACACCACGGTCACATGACTTCAGCCTCACCACCACTAAACTTCAGCTTGTAGTTTGATTCAGCTCTGACCTCTTCTTCCAAAGCCTTTCCTCTGACGGAGTTAGAGACAGTTTGTATAAACACAACCAGGCTGTAAAGGTGGACTGGAGAGTAGATCAGTTTTCATGTTCAACGTGATGATGTTTAACGTCCCCGACAACCTCTGCAGTCTCATTTAGACACTTGTTAACAACCGAGACGTAAAGGCTTAAAGAAATCAGGACTGGGGTGTTAACCACAGACCTGATTTCAGTCATCTCACCAAAAACACATTCAAAAGCTCCAGAGACTTCAAGACCAGGACCAGAGGAGCTAAAATGCAACTAATTTCCTGGTTTTCTGCTCATTCCTGCAGAACTCTGTTGTTTCATGAGGATGAAAATGATGTGAATCATATGCTGTGACCTTCACAGTCACCAGATTTCAGTCCAGTCAATAGGAGATTTTAGCGTAATGTGTTAGACAGCACTCTCCAGCACCATGAAAACACCATGAAAACACAACATGAGGGAATGTCTTTAGGAAGAATGGTGTTCATCCTCCAGTAGAGTGCAGAGACACCTTACTGAGACATTTTATGTTAGTTTGCCCTTTAATTTGTCACCTGTAAATATAATATACATAATATTCACAGGGTTAAAAACCCTTAAACCTGACCAAATAACATGAAAGCCATCTTCTTATTTAGAAGTGAATGACAATAATAAATGAAGGAGGTTGTCAGAGGTGAAAAACTCCTGAAAATGGCCAAATATCATGAAAGTGTCCCTGAATGTTCACTAACTGAAACATTAAGATAAGGTATAAACTAAGACATGACTTTCATGTTGTTTCATCAATTTTGAGGATTTGTCTTATAACTTTAAAGGCCCTTAAACTGTGCAGATAATCATTAAAATACCTCAGTCTATTGCACTACACGAATCTGTCCGTTAATTGTTCCCTTAAAAATCCCATTAAAGTGCCTTCATTGCATCAGTTAATTGCTAATGGATAAATTCACTTTCAGCTCCAAAACAGGATAAATGGTTCACAGACATGTTTTTGCTCAAACTGATTCAAATTTCCACAAATTTATCCTCAGATTTTCACTTTTCACTGATTTCACATCAGGTTTTAATACATGATTCAGCAAATTCATAAAAATCGTTAAATCATATTATTTATTTATGAAATAAAATAATCATATATAGTCTTAACTGTGAGGCAGTTTGAGTGTGATAACCCAGAAGTGCCCAGATATTTGGCCATATGACACATTCTTCCTGTGTATGTGTTCTTAATGCTGTGAAATGATTTATTTACTTTTTCTTTTACTTTACTTTCTTTTTATTCTCTTTTTTTTTCCTCCTGAGTTTTAATGTGTGCTGCTCAAGTTCCTCACGGACACTAACAGGTCAGATTTCTGTTCCCTGTTCAACCCTAAAGGTCTTTATTTGCTTCCTCACAGTCGATGCAGGATCAGGGGGGAGCTGGGATTTGAACTATCAGCCACAATAAGCTCTGCTCGTGTATTTACATGATTTATTTCAGATATCAACAGTTTATGTCAGTGTATTACCACAGTTCTATGACTTTACCTCAGATTAGAGCTTTCACTTGAAATATTTTAGCAGGTAAACACATTTAACAGTGACTGAGACATGTAGATGTAACTATTGTTATTGTCTGGGCTACAGTTGTAAATATTAATATTCAGAAGGTAAAATTCTGTTTTATTTGTGATCCGGATATGAAGAAGATGAGCTGCCTAGAAGTTAAAGGGTGATTGTGGTTTATTGAAATGGAACTTTTATTCTGAAGTTTTTAGGCATAAGGATATACATTTGTGTTGTGAAGCCCACAGTGTCACAGCCATATGTGTCCGGTACAGTGAAACGTTTGGGGCATTTTTAGCTTATTAACAAATGTTAATTAACATCTTCACCTTTTAGCCCGGTTTAGCAAAGGCTGCTAACTGAACTCTATCAACAAACATTTCATGCATTCTGGTGCAAATCTGGGAACTATGGATGCAGATTTTGAGCAGTTTCCTTAATCAATAGACTGACTTGTTAACAATCAATAGTTGGTGTATTGTTAACAACCTATGAAACACTGTGGACTTTTACTGTTATAAACCCTTTTTCTAACCACTGATGTGACCTATGTTCACTGCAGAATCAGTACAGACCAGAAAAATAAACACCAAGTTACATTGTCTCTAATCAGAGGGTCTGTAGCCTAAATAACCTGTAACGTTATGGAAAGAACATGAAACAGGTTCCCTCAGTCCCACCCACAGCAGATGCCACAGTGAGCTCAGAAAGCCACACAGCCACTGAGGAGGTGCGTTCGTTTTGTAATTTGTCAGAAAACACCTTTTAACTCCATCTCATCTTAACAGTAAAAGGAAAGCGGGTACTACAGCAAACCAATGTACAATGTCTTTTGCATTGTTAGTTAATGTACTTTTAATCCATTGAATTATTAATGCCAGTTAATAGATAAATGATTAATCACTGACAACCCTACTGGCAACCGAAAAATGCCTCCTTTGAACATCTGTATAGGACACAGGAGACAGGAACATCTGTAATCTTAAAGGTCGGCCTGTTTGATCTAACATCAGTGGTGAGCCTTCTCTCTACCTGGAGAACTAAAGCTAGTTAGTTTGATTTCAATCAAAGACAATCAGCCTGTTACATACTAATAAGCCCATGTAATAAAAAAAAACTGACTGTGTGTAATAGTGTAACTAACAATGAGACAAATTTTGTTGTATGATATTGTTTCAAACACATAATAAAACATAAATACCAACAGATTCAGACCAGTCACCATGACTGCTTGAACAGTGAGATGAGCAGCAGATCCCTGAGCTGTGCAGGTGATGATGATGATGATGATGATGATGATGATTAATTATTATCTCCTCTCTGTAAATAGTGGTGGATGTTTGTCAGAATCTCAGCTCTGTCAGTTCTTCACACTGTAAATTATTAGATCATAAAACTGATCAGATATTTGCTGAAAGATGATCACAAACAGCAGACATGACACATTCACACCTGATGACAGGAAGTTACAAACAAATAAATAAGAACAAATGCTGAAGTCAGAGCAGTGATCGAACCAGTGGGAGGCTCCATAATGATGCTAACTTTAAAAAAAAAAAAACAGTCACACACATCTTATTACTGTCGTGTTGTTGTGACACGTGTGGAAGCTGAAACCAGCTGTCGCTGCAGCCATTTTTTTAAATCAGTTTTCTTGTCAGGATAATGGAGTCGTTTTCTTATTAAAACATCACGACAACATATTTATATCATGTCAGCATGTGCAGATGCTGACGTCTTTGCTGGTTTAGTGTCTGATTTGAGCTGATAATGTCAAATAACAAAACCATGTTGGCTAAAATGAATTATTACTGTAAAAAGTGCGTCATTGTGCACAGAAAACGTAGCGATTTCATAACTGAATTCGCTAAAAGAGACATCACAACATATGGGATTAGAAAACATAAGAAAAAATGAATATAGTATATAATGAACATGTTATTACAATAAAATAACTTTGTCATCAGACAATGATAAGGTACATAGGTCATGATCTCAGGGATTAAATACATTAAATTACTGAATGTGGCAGCTCGTGGCGTCCATACAAACCCGATCTCCATCTGACTTTTTCATCACCAGCCACAGAATTATCATATTGTTAAAACAACAATTTGTACAACACCAGCAGAACAAAGTGCCACATAACTTGTGATTCCTCCAGCCAGCCAGTTTGTGAATCAGAGCCACAATCCAGCTCCAGCTTCTGACAGCCTGCACAGGTCCTATCATCCCGACTGAACCAGGACCAGATCCCTCCATTCTTCACCTTTGACCAAACTGAGCCAGAAACAAAAACTTGAATATTTCTGACTTTCACTTTTACTTAAAGGAGCTATTTGAAAGTTTGGCCACTGCTACATGGTAAACATTAGCATTACCAGCTGTTTACGTACCACTCTTGCCAAGAGCTTCAGCCATCGTTGCATTTACAAGACGAGAGGTTATAATCCATCTTTTAAGCAGCTACTTTTTCAGGCCAGAATGGAGGCTACAGTGACTCGGTATCAGAAAGTGACAAGACAGTCCTGTGGGACGGGGGCTAGCTGGTTAGCATGCTAACTTCAGTAGAAGAAAAGAGAACTTAGCATGATACAGGTTCCATATAATGTATATTAATAATAAGACCAGTAATATTATTTAAAATACAATTATAGGACAGGTAATAGCATTAATAATAAGACTAATAATAGCAACAAAAAGACACATAATAAAATTAATATTAATTAATTAATTAATTAGAGGGAGAGGAGGAGGGAGGAACTCTGCATCATGGGAAGTCCCCCGGCAGTCTATGCCTATAGCAACATAACAAACGAGTGGAGTGTTCTGTTGGGATAATAGAGAACTGTGAGCTCTTTATGATTTGTAGGTGAGGAGGAGGATTTTACAGGGAGTTGATATAGCTAACACAGGGGAGATGGGATATCTTCTCTAGTTCCTGTCAGTACTGAAGCTGCAGTACTTTGACTCAGCTGGAGAGTCTTTAGAAGCTTATTTATTCATCCTGAAAATAAGAAATTGTAATAAATTAAGTAACAAAAGCATTAACTAGTTTTTCTGCATCTTTTAGAGACAGGATTTAGAGACAGATTTTGCCGTGTTATGTAGGTGAAAAAAAATACATTGTAATTCTTTCTATGTGGAGTTAAAAGACATATCCCGAACATAGATCTGAGGTGTTTGGGGCCAAGTACAATAACTTCAGTTTTGTCTGAATGTAATAGCAGGAAATTGCAGTTCATCC